TGTTGTTCCAAAATAAGAAAAGATGTTTCTTTAAAATACTGTAGTGCTGTTTTTCTGTGCATGACAGTTTCTAAGTAAATTTCATGTACAAGTTTGTAAATTAATTACACATTTATAAAATGCCTTTTCATCAGTTACACATTTTCTTGGCAACATTTATCTTAATTTCAAAAAATGTTGTGGCTGCCTTCAGATTTATATTAAAACCCGAGAACATTGATTACATCATGAAGATAAATATACTGTTTTAATAGTGTTAACTTTTTACCATCTCCTAATTTTGATGGTTGAAAGGTTCATTAGATATTCCTTGAAGTACTTTTTTTTACATTACTGTGTACAAATCTGAACAACTGACTTTAAATATTATATTGTAAATTTTGTTAACTAGCAAATATATTGCTGTATCTGGGTGCATAGGAAGGAAATTAGTAAACTCTTAATCTCCAAAATTACTTGGTTTTATTTTCTTCAAGTTTTGAGATGTATAGTTGGCTTCATTCTGAGAAGTTTATTATTGTTTTAATTTAAAGTAGAAAGACTTATGGAAATGACTTTTTAAATAATTTTTAAAACTCAGTCTTTTTGCTCCATTTAAAGCAGCTTTATGGTCTATAAAGCAGGACTTAGATTTTCTTAGTTGGAGTTGATGGGTTTATGATTAAAATGTAAGATATGAATATTAATGTCAGAAATACTACTTTTATTCTGGCATTTGAACTTGATAATATTACAAAGCATCTACTATTGAATTTAATTTAGTTACATGTGGAATTCTCTGGGTGAGTGTTGTATTGTAGGCATATTTTTGATTAGTAAGAAGATTAGAGGAAAAAATATTGTCATATGACAAAAAGTTGAAATCTAGATTAATGTGTAGAAATTATATACAGGTGATATTTTTTGAAAGTGCTTTTAACCCAGTGTGAAATAATGATTAGCCTTTTGTCTATACATGCCAACTTTTGGGAATTTTTGAAAGGTCATTAGAATATTGAGAATGATTAAATACTTAGAATTTGAGGCTGAATACCTATATAATTTTACATTTATTTACTAGATGTTAAATCATACATTATGCCCCCAAAGTTGCTTGGACATTATTTCTAAAAATTGCTTTTATACCTCTTGAATTCTTTCTAAAAACAATCATATCATTTTTTCCTATAGTTGAGCTGTTTAGTCTAAATTTATTTGAATAAATAAGTCAAAGGCTGAATATTGAAAACTTTGTAATGACTTTGTACAGTAAATGTTTGTTTGTTTGTTATTGTTATTATCAATGGTCTCCCAGGGAACAAAGTTTATTTTTACATATTGTCAAAAATGTTTATTTCCAGGTTATTTGGTGTTGGGAATTTCCATTGGCCTGCAACTTTTAAAAGATTAGATTTTCCCTGTGTTGTTAAAAATGGGCTTGCATGTGATATATGCATTTACCTAGAAATTGTACTTATTTAGACCTCCAACTCATCGTCCATCTTTACAAATATGAAGTAAAATATCATTTTTTTAAAAAGTGGGCATGTGTAAAATATGTCTAGAATGCATTTTCTTTATGATGAACTGTACTTGTATTTCCTTCAAGTTGTACTCGGAGGTCCTCCCATTTAAAAAACCCACTTTCTTCCCCTCTGCCTTGTTCTCTTTCATACTCATTTTTATTTAACATTTGATAAAAGTAGAACTTTTAACATAATTCACATGGTATTACTAAAATATACTGATACCTTCATTGTTAGTACAACCATACCAGGGTGGGGTGGGAGAGAGAAAATAATGCCAGGAACTGTGTTCAGGGCTGAGAATCCAAATGAATGAATGTCCTTCTGTTCTTGGCTTAGTTGTGCCTTTTCAGAGAAGTCGGTGGGAATTTACTTTGCTTCTGTGGCTAATGTGCTTTCTCTTTACCGATCATCTTAAATTTTAGCAGTTTACAATTTTACAATCTTTCCACCACTGAGTTGAATAAGAAGTTTTCAGGTTTTTTTTTTAAATACTAACAGCTCATCTTAGATATTTCCTTTTCGCTTGTGTCCCATACTTACTGTATTTGGAAACTTAAGGATACCTGCTTCATTCATAATTGAATGTACATAGTCTGTATTTTTATTTCCAATATTTGGTTTTCTAAAAGCGTTGGTTTTCTTTGCCATGAAGCAAGAAGATTCTGTTATATAAATCTGATGCTCTTGTACTTGTGCATTCTACTTCTTGTTGATCCTTTACCATTTTAGCCTGAGTATCTTTCCCCCCCAAGATTAATTTTCTGAATTTATGATACACAAACTGAAAAATTTTGATATCTAGAGAGGCCACAAATTCTAGAAGTATACATACTTATATTTGCAGGAATTCCATTAAATCTCCTTACCTGCAATTTTACTTAGGAATATAGCCCAAGATTAACACCATTTGTTGTGTCTTAAAGTGAATGTTTTGTACAATGTGATTATTAATTATGGTAAATGCATTTGACGCTTACTTGAACCTGTAATTTTGGTATGATGACTAATGTGAATATCATAAAATGTAAATTTGAACAATTCTTTTTCATTTAAATGGTGATGGTCTTCAACAACAACTATATATACATACATATATATATACACATATATACATACATTTTATATATATATATATATATATATATATATATATATATATAATGGGAGCAGTAATACTTTATCCCTTTATACTTCTTGGAAACATACTGTGACATTGAGAAATGTAGAAGAAAGTTTAAATTCCATATTAAAGTCATATTTATTTCTCTGATCTTCTAGTGGTCAGAATTAGGTAATCTCCATTTCCTTTATGTTTGAAAAGCCATATCAATTCCTAGATCCTTTGGGCTACATACCTCCTTCTTCACCTTGGGCCACAGTCCTTCCTGCTCATTGTGCATTCCAACCTGGAGCACAGTTCCCTCTTTCTCCCACCTGTTCTTGGTTTAATGGTGTGAGAGGAAGCTTCTGTGGGAAAGGGGGTGGCGATGATGTATATGAAAAGGTCACTAACAAGTGGAAGAGTTTTTAGGGAATTTTATCATGAATATCTTATAGACATGTTTTAAAACCTGTTGCAGCATGGCAGAGTCGACATTCTTGAGTGGTTATAAAATGTATATTGAGGGAGTATATAAAAGGAGTATCTTATTCACATGAGTTTAGATTACTCTTTTTTTGAAAGGTGCGAAGGTGATACGAAGGGAAGATCCTTGTAGGTATAAATAAATACAAGGGAGAAAATAAAGAAACTTTAGTTGCTCATGGGGACCTGGTTAGTGGTTGAGGGTTCCTGGGAGATCAAGAAACTTTAGAAAAGTGATGAACTCTCTTTTGGTGTAAAATTTAACAGAGAAAACAAAACATTAGTTTAAACATAGATACTATTGAGGAATCTTAAATCCATCTACTATGTTGTTTAAAATTTTGGTATATAAAGTTGGTTCTGTGTGATTCATGTTAAAATAATTCATTTACACTAAACTGACAGCCATTGGCAAATTTTCTCAAGTGATTGAACCAATTCATGAGAAATATAGACTAATGAGAATAAAACAGGATGTTGTATAAGAATGTGTCAGGACACCATTTATGTCATCCATGCTCTTGGAAATTATTTTGTAGGAAATGTTTTTTCAAAATATGGCATAGAGCATTACAGATTAATTACGATAAAACTTATTATAAGTTTAGTACTTACACCAGGGATATTTGTTATAATTTATTTAACATTTAAGACCTTTATTAATAATATACCTTGATCTATAAAATGTACATTTTTGATTCTGTAGAAATTTGCAGGTCTTGCTGCTCTTTAAGAAGAGTCAAGCTTAGCTTGAGTTGTAATGGCTCCAGAGTGCCTGACTTACCATACCTGTCCCCTGTGACACAGCTCTCCGTCCACCGTCCTTTAGTTACAGTACTTGCTGTACTAGAAGCCAGGCTGCTTTTTCATTCCTCAGTTACCATGTTAAAGTCAAGTTATTTTAGGCACTCTATAATGCCTGGTGTTCGAATTGTTAAATAAGTTTTGTTATAATGCTCTTGTTCTGCTTGCTTTGCCTCCTTAATTTATATAGTATTGGAAAATACAATAGAAGCCTGTAATACTATTTTTAAAGGATAGTTCTTGCCTTGATAAAACTTATAAAAAGATCATTTGGATAAAATCATGCAACTAAAATATCTTGCCTGGAGTTCTAACTTAATCCTAATAATCTTGATAGGTTTACTGACAACATAAAAATAAAGTATTTCCAATAATAATAAATAGGACATTCTAGGCATCATGTTAGTGACATTCTTTTTAATGTTATATTTCAGGGAGTCTTAGTGTAGAAGAACCAGTGTTCATAGTTGTACCATATTAATAGTATAAACACATTGATCTATAAAAATACAAAGAGTAAAAACAATGTTGAAACATATGCATTGGGCACTGTGCTAAACACTTTAAAGGTATTTTATCATTTATGGAAGCCACAGATGGAAGTGCTATGGCCTGTGAGATCAAGAGAATACAAAGTGCCTGTGATAGAAAACTTAACACAGAACTGGGTTGAGAGGATAAACTTAAAAACCTGGCTCCTCCTTTGTTTTAATATGTTGCCCAAACTTCTTTTAAGCTATTAATTTGTGTTTGTATGTTTCTGTTCCACAATAGTACCATTTTAATTCTTAGATATGCAGAGTATCTTGGTATTTTTTTCAGTACATATTGAGTATGTTGAAATTACAAGTAAGACATAATAGAATAATAGAGAAATATTAGCTATTTTTTTACTTGGAGTTAAAATTTAGTGTGATCCACAATACAGAAATCACAGCACAAAGAAAATATGACTTTTATAACTAATAATGCTATCTGTCAATTTTTTTTTGTTTCATGGTGCTAGTTACTTGAAAAATATGAAATAGTCCTCCATTATTATTTTTGTAAAAATATGCAAATAGATGATCATGTCACACAATTTGATTTGTTCTGTTTTCCAGGTGCAACAATCGAACACAGTGTATAGTAGTTACTGGGTCGGATGTGTTTCCTGATCCATGTCCTGGAACATACAAGTACCTTGAAGTCCAGTATGAATGTGTTCCTTACAGTAAGTATGAAATTGGTATTTTTCAATTTCTCCCGCATTCCTCGTTGATGCTGAAAGACTACACATGTGAAAGAAGCATATGTTTATGGCCTACAAAACCATTATGCATGCAGAGCGCTAACAGACTCAGGCCTCCAATTAGCTTCATGAAGTGTGGAAGGAAGCCATGGTGTGATGCTGGCCAAGTGTCTGTCTGTGTTCTTAAGTGTTTGGCTTTTAAGGCTAGTGTTTTTCCAGAAAACAAACTTGAATTAGCTATTCAATAGGGCAGATAGAAATCTGTACTTTTGCCCGATACCAGTTGCTGACAAATTGGTTTGGCTCATGGTTTTGTAAAGAAGGAACTGACTTTGGTTTTAATCGTGAGCGACTTGAATGGCTACCTGCTGTCGTGGTAACTTCAGTGCCTTGGAAAAGCTGTGGTTGCAGTAACTGCAGCAAGTGCTCCCTTGTCTTCCATTGTCCCTAAGGGAGCATTGCTTTGCCATATTCACTGACGGAATCTTAATACTGAATAAAATAGATATGACAGAACCTTGTACATATTTCTACTTTTAATTTGGCCTAACATTCATTTTGGTGGGGGCCATAAAAGGATATTGAAAATTCAATTGGAGATTTCATGAGTAGGCTTCAGCTTATGTTCCAATTCTGTGTAGTTTTCCTCTGAACCTCAGAATTCACACTTCTAAATTGTTTTCTGTACTTTCATTGTACATTTTATACAACTAAAAAGTTTCACTACATTACCTAATTTTCATAAAACGTGTATGTCACCTTAATTTCTAAGCATGTGAATGATAACTTCATTAGCAATTTTACTGATTCGAGATAGTTTTGGTCCACTTCTTTCCTTAAAAAAACAAAAGTTGGTTTCAAACTAAATAATGAAATTGCTTTTTCTAGAGCCTCAGAAACTAGATCATTAGTTACGGTAGTTTCATATGTGACAACCATCAATGTTTCTCCAACCAAAGGGCCGAATTCTAACAGATGTCCTATGTCCAGTACGGTAGTAATGCATCCTTACACATCATGTGAAGGCGCTGTCTCTCTCTTTTCTGCCCACAGTTTTGATAAATTGGCTTTCTGTAGGGTATCAGTTAAAGGCCAAACACAGCTGATCTTTCCTTTTCATTCCTGCTCTGTGTTCCTGTGTCACTGTGAAATGGATGCTTTTTATGTTTTCAGTATTCTCTATACCATTTGTAGGATTGGAAGCCTACTGAGTGCACTGATCTTTGTGTCGTTTCTCCTGTGGGTAGTGTCGGTGGCTCACATAATCATTCTCCTGTGCCACTAGAGGAACATTGTATTCTTTTGAGCTAACCAAAATTTTGTTTCGTAAAGTCACTTTCACTTGAATTTAGCACGGTTTCTGTCCTCACACTAGAAAAGGAGTACAGCATCCATTCCCAAACACTGGAATCAGTCAGAGCTGCCAAGAATTGTGTCTTTCTGGAGCCTGTTCCTGTAACCTAGTCTAGAGACCAAGAATAGTGTTGTTAAGCAAATATCATTTTCAGACTCTTAAGTAATTTCTTGTGCTGTTTAAGAAAGGAAAATGTGGATACCTTCTGGAACATCTAACTTTCATTTTTTTTTTACTTTTTCAGTTCTCCAGAAGTATTGTACATTGTGCACTAAACTTGCAAATAGTTATATTCAAGAGAAGTATTTGTTCTTTATAATTTTTGTCCTTTAAAAAAAACCCAGGAATTAATTTGATGTTACCTTTCTAGATGTTTGCACAAGGCAGAAATAAGTCTGTGGCTTTTTTAAAAACTATTTCTTGCTTAAGGATTGATGTCATTATACATTCTGTATACCGTATAGTAGTGACACACTATGAATTGTAGGACTGTGTATTTTATCTCTTTTCCCCTTTTTTCAATTCTTTTGTTTCTTTACGGTTCTGTGTGTTGTACCAATCCTTTACACTTGCTTTTATTTTAAGTGGGTAGCCTTAACTTTCCCCTTGTTTTAATAGTGTTTTTTACTTGTAATATTTGCATACCCCACACTAAGTTGATAAAAATTGTTACCGTCACATAATGCTTATGATATGTCTCTTACCACCTTGCTTTATGTCAGTTTCTATCCAAAGCAAATTCTCCAGGAACATACACATCCCAAACTGTTTTTTCCTCTTTCAAAAATATTCAGACAAGTTTTTGTGATTTCTGAAAATTTTATAAGTACTTTACTCAACAGAGCCCATTAGAAATACTGTTTGTTTCTTATTCTGTGTGTTTAAGACAGGTGCATGTCTTATATCTGACATATTTCTGCTCAGACAATGTCTGTGTTAAACATAGCTGTACACAGCTCACCCTCTATCATTAACAGAAGTAGTACGTGTTTAAAATAATTCAAAAGGATCTTGTAGGAAAAAGGAGAAAAGTCTGAGTGGAAATCCATATTCTATAGGCAGGATTTGGTTTTGATTTTTGTACCCTGTTATTTCAACTATCATTAAATTATAAAAATTAAAATTACAGCTACCAGTTTTATTTGATGAAAAGAAAGAACCATTACTGTTGATTAAATCATCTTAATGAATAAGCATGAGATTATTCAAAGTGAAATAGTGTGTCACTTCAGATACAGAGTATATAGGCATTAGTTTGTTTGGGTCGATTTCTTGTCTTATGTATCCATGTAGTATTCCACCAACGTTAGTGGGTCTTGTATTTATGTTTGTTTGGTCTATAGAATAGCAGACATGTTGTGAATTAATTCATACATTCTCATAAGACAAGTTGCAGTACCTATTGTAATGGGATGAAGAATGCTAATTTCATCAATTTTATTGTGATTTTATATTCTTCTGGGTTGAGGAATTTTAATTGGCTGATTTGATATATACCCATCCTTTGGGTTTCATAAAAATCATAATATAAGGACATTTGTTTTAAATATCCATATCTTATTTGATTCATTAATCATCAAAGGTTATATTTACTTTTTATCCTTCAACTTTAATATTCTCAGTTTTCATCAGAATTATAAATTAGATGCAATTTATACCCATTTTATTTTTAATAGAAATGTCAGTGAAATCACAAAGACTTCTCTATTTAATATTTTTCTCAGTAACTGCATTGTCATTTTACTTCTTCATATAGTAAAACCCAGCCATTTTCAAGTAATGGAAAACAAAATATGCTTTCTGTGTTCTTTGTGGAACTTGTTTTAAGTTCTGTTTTAAGTATGTAACATATGTTAAAGTGTATTATTCCCATCCTTTATATTTAATTGGTTTATTTCAGTAAAGTCATTCTTTTCTAAAATACAGCAGTATGTAAATATAGTCTGAGCAGTCACGACACTAATGATTTCTCTTGCCCTCATTCTCCTGCCACGCCCTTCCGTTATTGATTCTAAGCAGGTATAATAGAGCTCTTCACTGAGGAGTAATTTTAGGACTAGCGGTTTATAAAAATTGTTTCACGTCAGTAACACTTAATTTCTTTTTACCGGATGCAGTCAGAATTACACATTATACAGCAAGTATGTTTCCTGAAAGTAGTGAAATAGGCCAAGTTGAGTGGGGGAGGCGGTGGCTAAACACGGAAGGATTATGCTATTTTTATGGCAAAAATATTTGTGTGATATTTCTCCCTAAGGTATTTCAGGAAGTCAGTAGTTAATCTTGATGAATTATTACAAATTTAAAAATGAATCAAGCTAAGACATGTAATGAAATGTGCAACTACAGTACCTTTGAGTAATCAGTTTGGAGATAGACTACTAGCACACCCTAATGCATTTTAATAAGGGAAGAAGCAGCATAGACATTAATCTGGACACTTTATGAAATTCAGGCAACATACTTCAAAGCCTACACACAATTTAAAGTAGTGCTTTATGGTTTGTAATTATTAGAATACTATTTACTAGCCAGAATCTCATGTAGCACCCTTCCTTAACAGCATACTGTAATCCATTTCTTTAAACTTCCTGGAGGGAGGAATTTTTTCACGTATAACTGTACTAATCAGGTTTGTTTTTATGAAAGCATTTACCTTTTCTGGGGTCTGTGGAGTCAAGGTATTTGCTTTGAATGCTTGGTATGATTGCTTTTGCATGCTAGCTTGCATTCTGTGTAAATTGATGACAGAAGACAATGTCACAATAAGCTAACCATATTCTTTCTTCCTTTTTCTCCTTGCCTACTGTGCTTGCTTTTTCCTTGTAGGTATTTTGCTTACTTCTTTAAAATAGTCTTAACATTACAAAGCTTGAGATATGTACTGTAGAGAATTTAGTAAGAATTTTATAATATAAAGTAGATATAATTTTCATGTTTAAATATTCCAGTTATTAGTGGGGAAGTAAGGCACTAACCTACCCCACACTTTAAAGTCCCTACAGGGGTAGATGGGGGAAATTTGTTTATTCCTGTAAAGGAGGCATATTTTTTATGGTTAAGGTATATTTTTGTAGAAATAGAAAGAATAGAAAAACAATGGAAACATATAATGAGATGCATAATTATGTATTTCTTGTGACATAAATACATTACATAAAATGTTAAAATGTAGCCATATTAATATTTATTAATTTTGACCTATACTCCAAAATTAAGTTGTCATTTTTATAAATACATTGTGTTGGTATGCTTAGTCATTGTATTAGATATTTTAATTTTAGTCAATGTAATAATGAGTTTATACAATTAGATAAGTGCGGATGGTCTGCCTATGCATGCGTCTGTCTGTAGCCTACATATATTAAAGTAATACTTGATGAGAATGCTGAGTGACTTTGGAATGGCAAGAGTATGTATACCGTGCATTAGTGAAGAATTTCATTATTTATTCAGGTACACTAAGTGAAGCAGCATGCCAACGTATTTGTATTGCCTCCTTAATCTATTAAAATGATTGATCCATGTTTTTTATGTAACTTTAGAATCTTTTTCCTGCTAGGTTTTCCTGTTGTGTGTTTCTCTTTGTCCAAACTAGTGCAGCTCTTATTCTTCCTGTATTTAGCATCTGTTACAAATTCAATCTTAGACTAATAGTCAATTTATTTTAATCTTTTTTCTTTTTTCCTTGCACTCTTTTTATTTTTCTTCCGATGCTTAAAATAGAAGTGGAGCAAAAAGGTAAATAACGTACAGTCTGAACCCCAGCTCCCTGTTATGTGCCTTATGGATGTTACCTCCTCCCTTCCCTCCCCCACTACACTCCTGACATTAAATAATCAGCAGGATCTCATAAATGCACTTCATAAAGAAATCAGCTGTTTGCAATGACATTTTATGACTGCTAAATCTGGTGATGGGATAAAATTTCTGAAGTCGGCGAGGGGGCACTGTCTTCTCTCTGTTTCTTTTTCACCCTTTATCTCTTTTTTTCTGACCCCCTTGGATATTTTATTATTGAGGTGTCATCTTGCCTGGTTTCCCGAGCCCTCTCCATAGCATGCCATGGTTCCGGGCCTCCTGGTCGCCTCATCCCTGCTTTCTTTGTGTTTACTTTTCTCTGCTCCTAATTGCATTCTCCAAATATTTATGTTTCTTCAATGGAAGCTTCTTTGGTTTCAGTCTGACTTCTGTCAAAGTTCTAAATAAGGCTTCATGTTAGGTTTTTTGTTGTTGTTGCTGTTCTGTTTGCTTTACTTTGGCTCTTCGATTTTGGGTTTGGGGGGAGCATAAGTGGGCCAGGGAAGGGAGGGTACAATGTTTGGACTAAAGAAAGAACTTTGTACACTGTTGTGCAAAAAGCTCAAAGTTTTAAAGCATAAATTACCAAATTATCAGATAAAAACACATAGCAAAAATGTAAGTTTTCCGCTCAATTGTGAATGACCTTAAACTTAGGTTTGTATTTGTGAAAATAAACCACAGCCACTTTGTGTGCTGGGGCTTTGATTATGGGAACTTGGGGGAAGAATATACACTTTTATTAAGGATATATTTTGGTAGAAAGTTAATAAAATGAATTTTTCTCTTTGGCTTTATGATCCTTAAAACTTCTGTTTACCCATGTCATTTTTTTAACTTGACTTAATTCTTGTCTTTTCTCTGTGACCGTCAGTTTTTGTGTGCCCTGGGACCTTGAAAGCAATTGTGGACTCACCATGTATATATGAAGCTGAACAGAAGGCAGGGGCTTGGTGCAAGGACCCTCTTCAGGCTGCCGATAAAATTTATTTCATGCCCTGGACCCCCTATCGTACTGATACTTTAATAGAATATGCTTCCTTAGAAGATTTCCAAAACAGTCGCCAAACAACAACATACAAACTTCCAAATCGAGTAGATGGTACTGGATTTGTGGTCTATGATGGTGCTGTCTTCTTTAACAAAGAGCGAACAAGGAATATTGTGAAATTTGACTTGAGGACTAGAATTAAGAGCGGAGAGGCCATAATTAACTATGCCAACTATCACGATACCTCACCATACAGATGGGGAGGAAAGACCGATATTGACCTGGCAGTTGATGAAAATGGCTTATGGGTCATTTATGCCACAGAACAGAACAATGGAATGATAGTTATTAGCCAACTGAATCCATACACTCTTCGATTTGAAGCAACGTGGGAGACTGTGTATGACAAACGTGCTGCGTCAAATGCCTTCATGATCTGCGGAGTGCTCTACGTGGTCAGGTCAGTGTATCAAGACAACGAGAGCGAAACCGGCAAGAACACAATTGATTACATTTACAATACTCGATTAAACCGAGGAGAGTATGTTGATGTCCCCTTCCCCAACCAGTACCAGTATATTGCTGCAGTGGATTACAATCCTAGAGATAACCAACTCTACGTGTGGAACAATAACTTCATTTTACGGTATTCTCTGGAGTTTGGTCCACCCGATCCTGCCCAAGGTAAGAATGTTTGCTTGCCAATGCCTATGTCTTTCGTGATCAGTGTACTTCTAAAAGGCTTCTTAATTTCTTTCCTGTTTATTTTCTTCCCCTTTCCATAGTTAAAGCACCAAGGAAAGAGGTGTGCCATTCCATGCTGTCACATAGTGTATACATTGTAGCTTTATTTTAGTACTTTTTTTCCTGAATTTCTTCACGTAACTGTTGCCTTCAGAAAATTGAGGCATCGTTCATTGACCATTTACCTTTTCATTGCTAAAAATATAATACCAGCTACAAACCTGTTAACCTTGCTTTTTTTCCCCTCTACCTGACTTCTGAATTGATTACAATCTATGTGCAGACCTTTTAACTTCTTGGCGCCAGTGGGTAGGGGAAATATGTGTTAGGGTGTCCCAGGGGAACTGCTAGGCTACATGTGCAACCCCGGGCGTTAAGTGTTTCGAAGTTGTGGCGTCCACTCTCTGCCGGAGAGGGGAGTCATCCGACATCTTCCTACATCATCATGTAAAATTACAGGTTTTTATTTCCTGAGGAATTAGCAATGGTTTTAAGTCAATATTCCTGTGACTTTGTCACATATGGACTAAACATTAAGTGATTCCACATGATGATTTATGACATACCTGTTAGCATTTTTTTTAGTTCTCTTTAAGAAACTTTATAGAGGACCATTAGTTCAGAAAGTGATGCTAAGTCCTTGGGTATATACTTTAGTTTATCAAGTGAATTCAATTCTGTGGAAAACAATTTTTGAGGGTAAATTAAATGACTGTTTCATTAAAACAAGATTACCTCACACTCATGATAAAAGAACAACCTGTTAGGTTATTATAGAGGTTTCAGTAATTTTATCTTTTTCTGTTTGACCAATATTTGTATATTAAAATGCTGAATTAATGTTTCAGTTTATTCAGTTCATTGGAATTCTCACATTATTGAGTTACTTCAGATTTTTTTTCCTATGGAATGAATAAATCTCCTCAAAAAGGTGGAAAAAAGTTAATATTTTCTTCTATTAAAGTAGTACATAGCTACACAATTAAACATAACTACATGTACCCACACATATTTTAGGATATACTGTTACTAAGTTCTAAATCTTGTCACGAGATCAGAATCTCAAAAGTCGAAGTCATAGCCTTTCGTAGTGGAATTCTGACTCCAGAACACCAACGTCTGTGATGTGATTTTTGTTCATAAGAACAGTAGCAACAGTGACTTAGTGCAAGGCCTCTTTTTCTCCAGTTCATAGATGTCTAGAATTTTTGGGCTTAAAATTGTAGCAGTAATGTCCTATTAGATTTTCAACAATTAAATCTTCTTCTAGGGCATAAATATTTTTACTGATAGTAACTCAGAATTGCTTATTTTTATAATTAGACATATTTTTCCTCTGGAGGACAGTGATTCAGAATATTTTCTGTATCTTATTTGTTTTCTTAAAAACAAGTACCATAGTTCTCTTTTATTGGCTGGTAAAAGGCAAATGTCAGGAATTGACAAAATTGGACATTGTATTGATTCTCGTGGTAGCTTTTTGTGATCAGTCTTTACTACACTCACAGCTGTTCAATTTGTTTTGGTTGGTAATACATCTCTTCCCCTCCATTAGAAAAATAAGGTAGGAAATAATTTTTTTAAATGCCAGTTCATGATCAGGGCCTTACCTGAGGATTCTGAATAAAGAATCATTGCCTCATCTAATTGTCACAAAAGTACTTGAGTGAATACAAGATGAGTAATATCGTTTCCCATAGGTGCTTATATTCTAGTAAATAGGTTCATTACAGATGAAGTCTGATAATTTAGATGCTTTTTGGATTTATTTAAATTATTTTTTAGAGAGAGGGTAATGGAGGGAGAGAGGGAGAGAAGCATCAGTGTGTGGTTGCCTTTCACACGCCCCCTACTGGTGACCTGGCCTGCAACCCTGGCATGTGCCCTGACTGGGAATCAAACTGTTGACCCTTCAGTTTTCAGGTCAGCACTCAGTCCACTAAGCCACACCAGTCAGGGCTGGATGCTTTTTGGAAAGGGTAATTACCAACTTTGAAAATGAGAAACTTAGGCACATTTAGTAATTGTGTTTCTACAATTAAGTTTTGTTATCCAAAATAGCTATTCTTAACTAGCCCCAGAAAGTGAAAATTAATTTTGGCCCTTTATTAAACCCTTAATGGTAAGAAAGTTTTATCTGACCTAAATTTTTCTTGCTGCTGTTTGAATCATATTCTCTTAGTCTGTTTACTTAAAATTTATTTTCATATGCTTTTAGAGAGACCTCAGTTCTCTCTCATCCAGGATGTATACTGATATCTAGATGGGACTTTGCAGAACTGCTCTAGCCCCTAAATGTAGGCCAAACCACTAAGCCACTGTCAGCATTCCAAAAGCAAGATCTGAGGGACTGATGGGGCGGAGCAATTAGAGAGCAGGGTGTTTTGTCCTACAAAGCAGTGATTGACTGGCTTGGCTAACATTCAGTCTTATGTGCTGAATCTGCTATAGTGTATGTCACCAAGGTGTACATTGTGCTGTAAAGCTATTCAGCCCTTTCATTTCTCACTGTGACCTGCTTCATAGTGTATTAGCTTCAATACTTTTTCCCGCTTATAAATCCAAGCATTTTTGTTTATAACGGCACAAATACATTATTTATTTGCCAGGTCTTCAAGTAAATCTTTTTTTTATTTGAATTTCAGCTTTTTGTGATCTCTGTTCCCTTAAACTAAATCCACTTTTCCTTTCTCTTTCTTCTTCCCTTAAGTGGGCTTAGGAAACATCCATTTTAGTCTTACTTTAACTTTTCTGTTTCTTAATTTGAATGTTTTATGTTTACATAATCTGTGTGCAAATAAGATCTCCCAAATGTTATAAAAAATCTTGTGTCTTGGGGTTTTTATAGCTCCTAAATAATTACTCTAATTACGAAGCACCATAGTTTGGAAGTATGAGGGAAATGTTTTATTAAGAGAGTCAGTGATTTTGGGGGGTAGTATTTAGCATAGGATACTTCTTGAAACATCTTCCCACTGATAATGAATCCTCTCAAAAGATGGCCAGTATTCTTAAACATTGAATAAGGGTAAATTTAATGAATGTGCAGTTTTGCCTTACTAGGCTACCAACTCACTCCAGCTGGAGTTCATTTAGTGAACAGTGGGTTAGTTTTAGGACCTGGATGATGGAAGTCCTGCCCTTAGCATCAACAGTATTTTCCCTAAATCTTTTCGTGCTGGAGAAAGCTGGTAATAAATAACAAGTCTTGAGTAAACACTACTGTAGTAAACTGAACCATTCTGTATGTGTGTGTCACATCTTCATGGGTTCCTATTAAATATGTTAATTAGCATGTTGTTAGCTCCATTTCTAGGTCTCTGCACTTAAATGATAACAGTAGGTAACAGGCTGAAGCTGTTAATCTAGATGCTTGATATGGCATCCTGATAACTGGGACGTAGCCCTGTGTAGCAGGGTTTGGGTTTTAAATGGAATTCTCTTGTGAATTGCCTTGTTTTCTGTTACCGTTTGTAGGTTATGCTAGAGTTTTGAACTTCTTGCCACATAAATTTCTGTATGAAGCTGTACAGTTTATTGCTCCCACACCTTATGCTATCCTTCCCACATCTTTTGTTCTCTTAGAGATTTACACAGAGCACCAGTGTCAGTTAAATGTTCCAGAGTAAGGGCAGATTGCTTTGTGGGATGCTGTACTTTTCCAGAGTCTATGAAAATCTTACCTAGGAAAGTAAGATCATAGCATTTAAGAGTACAAGCAAGTGACCTTGAACAAATTGCGTAACCCTCTCTGCAACTCAGTTTCCTCATCTTTAAAAGAAAGATCATCATAATACCTACTTTATAAGGTTGTAGTATGGATTTCATAAGGTGAGCTGATGATCTTTGATTAGAGTAGAGTCTGGTTCATAAATGCTAAGTGTAAGCTTTTATCATTATCAGATGGCCTGTCTTCACCTATGGAAAGAAATATTAATCTTGAGAGATATCTCTGTATTTCTAACTTCAACCTTACAAAAAATTGCTTTCCTTGAAGTTACTAAATTTCGGTCTTCCAAACTCCCAGGAATTCTAATTGTCCTCCAAAAAAATTAAAGTTTGCCACATAAAAGCTTACTTCCATGTTTATTGTCACGATGACCCAATATTTCAGTGATTTGCCTTTGAATATGTGTTGATTCCCTTTGAACTTAGTTTATTAAAAGGTAAAAAGCATATGAAAATCATCAAAAAAAACACATGGAAATAGACTATAGAATATCATGAAATTGTATGCATGTAATAGAGGTCATTTTATTACCTACCTTCATGCACTTATGATGCATCTTTACTGATGCTTAACTAACAGATTACTAATTGTAGCACTGTTGATACATATTCAGTGATTAAATATGTCTTGATTAGTTCGGTGTCGAGGGAGACATATGACGGCTTTAGCAATAAAACCACTTTGCTCTGCCTTGTTCTCTTTTTGCTCCAACTCTCCACTCCCTTTTTAAATTGGATTCAGCAGCAGTCATTTGACACTTCTGCAGAAGATTGTGATGCTTTTGACAAATGTTAATTGAGAAAGCACTGAAAGCCTGGCTGCATTGTAATCAAAAGAAAATTACAGAGGTTTAACAAGATGTCAGGCAAGGGCTTTTCGGGAAAAGATAGACGGGTTTGAATAGGTTTCTGCAGCAGCTGGCTGGGCATGATGTTTGACTAATGTACACAGGCATCTTTCATATGGTCAATACATTATGCCCTGGAAATAAAACATGTTTAAGTTTTTCTTGCTCTAGAAGGAAAAAAAGGTGTAGAAAGTATATTTGGTAACAAGAAGTTTGTCACTACTAAAGGCCTAGAAACAAGTTTTTCTGATAAACTCAGCATGCCCTCTCAATAGTAGCATAGTTATATAAACATCTATTTATGGACCAGAGCCTGAAATATGAAACGTAGTAATAATATGAACTTGTTTTCTAATCAGTTTTAATGTTCTAGTTTGTTTCTTATGTATAGAGAAGGCCTAAAACAGTTAAATTTTATAAGATTACTTGAAATCATTATTTTTAATTTGCTGTACTCTTAATAATTTAAGGCATCATATTATATATATATATATATATATACATATATATATATATAACATTTTAAGAGCCAGTAACTATAAATCTTGATAAAACTTCAGAGTGATCATTTAATAGAGTTCAAATGATAGTCTTAAAGTTTTACCGACAGATAAGTTTTGTTGTTTTTAAAATCAATTAAATGGTAATTAATGAAAGAGACATAAGCTCCATTAATTTTTTAACCTACTGGATATAACAGTTTGAAAGTAATATTGGAAGTCAAAAAATAGCCTTTAAAAACTTCTTTGTGGCCCTGGCTGGTGTAGCTCAGTGGATTGAGCGCGGGCCTGCGAACCAGACAATCGTGGTTCGATTCCCAGTCAGGGCACATGCCTGGGTTGCAGGATAGTTCCCTGCAGGCCAGTTCCCAGCAGGGGAGGCACGAAAGGCAACCATACATTGATGTTTCTCTCCCTCTCTCTTTTCCTTCCCCTCTAAAGATAAATAAATAAAATATTTTTAAAAAACCTTTTTTGTGAATTTCTACTTTTAAATGTGTAACTGTAGTCCTCTCATATACTGTTTAGGGTAGAGAGGAGGGCTGGTTTTGAATTAGGCGTGATTTGATCTAACCTGTTATCTTGACAAACGATTGCCTCATAGCCTCTTACCAGAACCAGTTGCCCTTCTCTTACCTACGTTTTCAAAAGGGAAGAAGCTGAAGCCTCCGCTGTTTCCTTACTGTTAAAACAGCACAGGCGGGCAAAGTTGCGTCCTGTTCGGGTCTGACCAGGCATGCTCAAAAATCTCTCAAGCAAGAATGGCTGCTGGGTAGAAAGATGTCACAATGTCACATCTTATTTTTTCGTAAGGTGTAGAATGGGTGACCTTTTAAGTTTCCTGTTGTCCTAACTGGAGGTAATTGTCAGACTTTTGTTGATGCTTTGAGTTTGATTGTTTAAAGAGTACGAATTTATACAAGAAAATAATTTTTTGTGTTATTTACTAGTGACAGAATGCATTTGGTTTGTGTGTTGAAACTTTATATAAAACTGTCCATTTCCTGTTAGATGATATATAATGAAGTTACACTTAAACTATGTCATCAGATGTCTCGTTGAGAAGTAAACGTAGCACAATTAGAGTCATACACTAAAATGTATAATGAAGCCTAAACTGCCTTTGCTTAGCTAATAGTATAAACAGGAATAATCGAAGGGGTTTATTTTTCCTCCCCACTACTGGTGTTCTCCGTAACCCTCATTTTTGTTGGTTTTGGAGAAGTTGGAGGGGTGGGGTTTGGTGTGTGCCTGCAGGCACACATTCACGTGTGTGCGTGCCTGTGAACTTGAGTGTGTCTTTGAGATTAACATACTCATCTTTCTTCCATAGTGCCTACCACAGCTGTGACAGTAACTTCTTCAGCTGAGCAATTCAAAACCACTATGTCAACCACAAGCACTACTTCACAGAAAGGCCCCGTGAGCACAACCGTAGCTGGATCACAGGAAGGAAGCAGAGGGACAAAACCACCTCCAGCAGTTTCTACAACCAAAATTCCTCCTGTAACAAATATTTTTCCCCTGCCAGAGAGATTCTGCGAAGCATTAGAAGCCAGGGGGATATGGTGGCCTCAGACACAAAGGGGAGTGATGGTTGAACGACCGTGTCCCAAGGGAACAAGAGGTAGTTTCTGTAAAATACTACATACACATTTTAAATTGTACTTCAGTTAGATTCTGAATTACACTGAAGTGAGTTTACTAGCAGAAGGAGCTATTTATAATAGTGAACTTTATTATTCTTGTTACTTGGCAATACAGCAGCTGTAGACAACTGAAAGGTTTTTAAATTGTAAAAATTACCTAAGGTCAGGTCCTTAATTACCTCTCCCTCTTAAAGACCGGGGTCAGGCCTGAGATTTTTGCCCATGGGCTCTAGGGAGTGTTCTAACAGCTGTCTTTCTCATTGTAAGTGTCATTTTGGATGAGTCCCAAGAAAATCAAGGGCTTTTTGTTGTTTGTTGTAAATGTCTGATATTTCTATGCTGACTTTATATTTTCTGTTTATAATCTGCATCTCACCCTACTTTTTGTCAGTTATTGTCAGTTATTGTCAGCTACTTCCATTAGTGTTTATTCAGAACTGAACATGCAGGGAAGGATCATCATAGCTGATTTCCCAAATGCATGTAGAGAAACGGCTTCGGTTTCACTGTTGTTTTCTACATCTGTTGTAGGAACTGCCTCATATCTCTGCATGGTTTCCACTGGAACATGGAACCCTAAGGGCCCCGATCTTAGCAACTGTACCTCACACTGGGTGAATCAGCTGGCTCAGAAGGTTGGTTGGAACCTTTTATGATGATACACATTGGTGATTAAGGGCTTTAACTTCTAACATAAATAATTTAGCTTTGTATGTTAAAACCAGCTTCATTACTCTTTGTTAAGCATAAAAGTAAAAAATTATGCATAGTTTTGTCTGTAAACTCTTTATTCAAAGTTACATATGTTTGGGGGCAGGCTGGGTTTTTTTTGTTAAGCTTTTTAACGAGTACATACTTGCTTAATTTCAATCACATTTAGTTAGCTCTGTTTCTTTTGAAGTTTGTAAGACAAATAGTGCATTGGCCTAATACATCAAATATCATTATATTTGCAACTGTATCCACAGAATGCAAGCAGATGTTTATATCATAGACGATTATGAGAGAATAAGTAAAAATATTTACAGTGAAATATAAGTAAAGTACTAATATTACAGTGGAACGTAGTGACGTTTTAGCTTCTCCTTTGTCAGCTACCTTTCTGAAGTACAAGAAGTAGGTAATAATCCTCAATACCATACTGATTACATTCTGAATTAAATTTCTGGATCATTGGAATAAATAAAAAGATTTTTAAATGGCAGTTTAAAATGGTTACAAAGAGAGCTATCTGAAAACCTTTACAAAGGATTTCTGGTTTTCCCCCCTTTTGTTTCTTTTAAATTTCTAATTAAGAATTTCTTTTGTGTTGAGGATATGAGAACCTTTAATCATTTGAAGTGAAGAGAAAGTTATTTGTCTCAATTAGCTGCAGATTTTGACACATTTGCAAATACATTTCTCACCATAACAAAGATACTCAGAAGAAGAACGGGAAGCCGCAAACAGAGCACGAAATGTTACTGAGATCATGTAAATTGGCCTTTCAGATCAGAAGTGGAGAAAACGCTGCTAGTCTTGCCAATGAACTAGCTAAACATACCAAAGGGCCGGTGTTTGCTGGAGATGTGAGTTCTTCAGTGAGGCTGATGGAGCAGTTGGTGGACATTCTTGACGCACAGCTGCAGGAACTGAAACCTAATGAGAAGGATTCAGCTGGACGGAGTTATAACAAGGTAAGTCGGAATGTTCTGTTACATTTAATTAGACACTTTGTACAGCAGCTCTGGAATCAACAGTAGCAGTTGACTGTCAGACCTCTGGCCCCTTGACATACATACACGTAGAGACAAAACTTCTAATTTGGTTTATGTCCCAAGAAAGAATTACAATTGAGACAGGAACAATATGGCTTTAACCAAAAAAAAAAGTTAATTACCTGAGAGTGATCCTAGCTGGTGGCAAACTTCACCTGCCTGTTTATGGTCAGTAGTTTCATTTTAGAATGTATTCTCTGCACTTGGAGTCTCATTTTGGAATGTATTTCTGCACTTGTACAACACACTATGTGTAATCGTACATTTAATTCTTAGGTTTGCAACACAGTTGTGACGCATATAGTAATGTTACCCACTGAAATACTGTCTTTAGTGGCAGGTTTTGGGAGAAGGACAAACTTCTCTCTCTAGGATTATGGTGTTTTAGTTTATTAATTTTTCGTACTATGACATTTGATAGCTTTGTTTTTAACCATACTGTAAGTGTTCAGGTGAGATCCATATGACTCCAAAATCTGTGGCTATTACGGTTTTATAGGGAGAAAAGTAGGCACTTTCTTCCTTTTGATCACATGTTTTGTCCCCAGTCTTATCAACATACTTTGGATGAGTATACTTAGTAACATACAGCTAAAAACTATAGACAGAGAAAGTTGGCAGTCAGCACAGATCCATGAAAGTCCAGGAGACCAAATACCTAATGCACTCTGAGTTCAGGAGCACCAGCTTAATTTTTGAGGATTTTTTCTTTCCTCATTTTCAACAGATAAAATCTAACCTCTGATTTTCTTTTCTTTCACTAAAAAGCTCCAAAAACGAGAGAAGACATGCAGGGCTTACCTTAAGGTATCTCTCCTGTGCTGTCACCCTGCTTTATCCCTCCTTCAGCTCCCTGCCACGCTTTATCATCTTGCTGCATGATCCAATGTATTTCAGTCTTTGATAATTATATAATGTGCCCCATATCAGCTGTACAAATGTTGGCTTTTCACAGGTATATTGCTCTCAGAATAAGCAAATGATTTTTATGATTTTTATAAATTTTTATAATTTTTGCTGTTTTCCCATTCATCCAAATGTACAAGAATTTGAATGACCAATCCTCTGAATTGGGAAGTAATCATACAGTCTCTCTGTTTTCTGTTGTCATCTCTGTGGCTTAAAAAACAACCGGAGTAACACAGCTATGATATATTCTCGGCAGTTTATCGTATCAAAGACTGTAGAGTCATAATGTATGTGCATGAAAAAGTCACTGCTTTCTTATCTGTTATACTCTTAAATAAAATAGGCTTTGTCCTGAAATTTTTCAGGGTCATTTATAGTATCAGGTTGATATTTTTAGAAAGGGTCACAAGAAATGAAATATGAATAATGCGACAGTGCTATGGATGGGTGTTACATGTTAGCTTTTGTCAGGCTGATAAGAACAGAAATCCACTGTTTGGTTGAGAATCCTTGCCTCTTCCAGCCGGTTTTTTCCCGTGTGTATCCAAGGAATAGGGAATATTCTAAGTGAGGCCAACAGAGCAATGATGCCACACTAGTTCTTTGTGACAGGTCAGAATAACACCACATCTCGTGTTTCATTCTGAATTTTAAATGTTCTTTTTGGAAGATAGTACCATGTCACTAGTAAATCAAACCTCGAACTAATTCTTACCACATGTGACAACAAAGCGAGAGAACTTTGTAGCTGCAGGACAGAGGTTACTCGAAAGCTACTGCTTTGCTAATAATACTGGCTGGCGAGGTCTGGAAACGAGGAAATGGTGTCTCCCTGGGCACTGATGGACTTCGTGGAATCTCAGAACTTTACAGGGACAGGTGGTGGGAAAGTCTTTGTAGGTAGTAATGTTCTGAACGTCCCTTTTAGCCTTTATAATGGGGGCAAAGAACTGCTAAAGAATATAGAATCTGTCTTACTGAAACTTTTTCAGTTCCCCATCAAGGTATTTATGAATGTGTGGAATGTAATCATTGGTATGTTGCCCAGGACATAGATCTCAGTGGGAAAAGAATAGCTTTTTTTTCTTTGGCAGGGAGACTACTTCAGCAATATGATTAGGCTAATGATCATTTTGATCCCACTAGAAAAGTACAAATGGTAATAAATAAGGAGTGTTTCAAATGAGTAAAGCCATGTCATCAGTGAGTTAGGTGTATACACAGTAAATTTCAGCATGACCTTAATTTCTGATCAGTGTCATTTTCAGTATGTCGCAAATGAGTTTCTCTGTTCAGATAAGACTAATAAAACTCCTTAAATTACAAATCAGAAGCTGACTTACACTAGGCAAATGAAGCGGTTTCCTGCTTTGTGACAGAGGATTCATTTGTAAGTTACATTAGAGGCACTAGTCTGTATTTCTTGGTGACTAATGAATCTGGCCTCAGCAGACCAATTTTGGCTCCACTCTGGTTAATGGCTGTAGCAGTATTGGTGTGAGCATTTTGACTATTCTAACTCCCATTAGAGGGGGGGGAAAAAGCCTTTAAATCCACTTGGAAGTATCTTCACCTGCCAGGAAGGTCATGGTGGCTCACAAGGCAGACAGAAAGAGGATATTAAGATGGATTAAGGTAATTAATCTTACTCTGACAGTAGCCTCAAACAACTTCCCTCCCGGTTATTTTAATATAGTACCTCAAACTGGCGATTTTTGTTGTTCTTCGTACAATGTACGTCCTTTTTCCCTGTGTGATTACAAGTAGATCCAAACAATGTATGTATTGGGCTTAATGACACATTACAAGTAGGTAAATGGGATAGAATAAATAAACGTAGTGATCTCAGCTCTTCAAGCCATAATGTACAGCTAGAGTACCCATCAGTGCACAAGCCTGCCTTCAGTTGCTTAACTGCCTGAGTTACATATTTATTTAATGTTATTTTCCACAATAATAAACTAAACCTATATATATATATATATATGTGAATATTTACAACTTGGATGTTTATAAAAACTTTATTCTGCTTTTCTGTTTCCATCAAATTCTTATTTTAGGCTTTAAATATTTTGAATGTTTTCTTGATTCCTTTAAAAACAGAATTGTTATGAACTAAGGTGTACTCTCAAGTGTTTAATTTTTATCTGGACAGGGAACTGAACGAGTGAAAACATTCACAGATAATTTACAAACTTTCAAATCATTTTGTTTTTTTCCCCCAATGCTAATAAGTATTGTGTTACAAACACAATTTTGGTTATTAAACTTTGGTTCACGTTCCAAAACACAATGTTTTACTTTTCAACCATAACTATTAGGCTTCTCCAGAGGCAGCAGTGTTTTCTCTTGAGAACCTGAGTTTTGAGATTATAAATAGGGGGGCAACTATGTATGTAAGAGTAATACTTCAGGTTTAGATGCTGTTTGTGTTTTTCTTTCCAACAACTGAGATGATTAGATAAACACAAAAGCCATCTTTTTACTCTTACTCTTTATAATCGGATAGTGGTCTACTAATCTTTAGTCAGTCCTGTCTTGAAATAGATCTGTTACAAGTTGACCAGATAATATGTTGTCTAAGTGTTCTTCCATCTTGAAATAAGAGTAATCATCATGACAGATGTTATAATTGTCACTAGTCAGTGATTGAAAATCACCCTGGTACTAGAAGCATTCAGACCTAATGATGGTTTTTTCACGGATGCAGGCAATTGTTGACACAGTGGACAACCTTCTGAAACCGGAAGCTTTGGAATCATGGAAGCACATGAATTCTTCCGAACAAGCACATACCGCAACTATGTTGCTGGATACGTTGGAAGAAGGAGCTTTTGTCCTGGCAGACAATCTGGTAGAACCAACCAGAGTCTCAATGCCCACAGAAAATATTGGTAAGTGAATCTCTTGTTAGGTTTCACTTTGATTTAGAAGGTAGATGTTTAAGAGGATGATGTGTCCACTCTGAATCTGTTATTTCCCAGTGCCAAACTTCTTTTTTGTTGATTATTTTTATCTACTAACAAGAGATATTATTGATCACATTTTATAATGCAAAAGCCAAAATCTGTCCTATATCTTTTAAAAGTTGGTGTCATGTGGTTTCTTTTTCCAACTGAAAAATCGTTAGAGTACTTAAATGCCTGGATATGGATTGCTCAGGTAATGAAAGTGCTTGCTATGGAATTATGGCAAATGCTTTTCCATTTGGTATAGTATGTTCCTAATGAATTTAAATGACTTTCTGGAATGTATTCTCCCAGTCATATATTTTAGGCAAACAGAATTTGATCCAAATGTTTATATTAAACACAGTTGCCTTCAGGTGGAAATGTAGTCAGTGAACTACACCTTCCACGATACAGAATATCCATGCTTTCTGTATTATTGTAAAATGGCTGCCTATAGTTTTGAATCATAATTTGGAATGAAAAGGCTGATAACAAGAGTCAGGAATTAATTTGATGGTATTTGAAACAAGTGCAGTAAACACAGTAAAATATATTAATTTAGGCTTTAGAATTATTGATTATTCAGTGATTTTGAGCTTAGATGAAGTTTTATAATATCCCTTAGTAATATAAAAAAGTTTCCCAAGCATAAATGTTTAAAAAACACACAAACACCATAAGGGATTGTAGACTACTCTCTTTTACCAAAAAAGCATGTACCTGGAGCACCACAGATTAAATGAGGTTTTGCTGTCTCAGATGCCGTCTTGTTACCTGATTGTGTCTGCCTCCCTCACGGGACTTTATATTTTAAAATGTAAAAAAGTAAGATATTTAGAAGAAATAGACATTAATCAGATTACTGTATTGGTAATTAAAGTCAGACTCTAACTTTCTTTAAATGAATGAATTTTTAGAAAGAAAGAACTGTTACTAAAATTGTGTTTTTATTTAGTGTGAGGTTTTGGAATGATAAGAAACTCAATAACTTCAAATTAAATGAAGTCAAAATAATTTGGCGTGTCATGATCTGGGAGACCAGTCATAAGAGAAATAAATGATTGCCACAACCTTCGTCATACTGCAGAATGAACACAGCTTCCCCTTTCTGTCTAAAGCTTTTATTATTTTAAGGTTAATTTGCTTAATCATCTAACGAAATGCTTAAATATATCTTAAACAAGTCTTCTCAGGTGTTCCAGACACGTGCCTTCCAGGGTAACGGAGTGGGGGCGTGGTCACCTTAGGAAGGTGATTCACAGAAAGTCCTGTCCAAAGTGGCGTGTCCTGACCTCTGTTTGTTTTCTGCGTCTTCAAAAGCTATTTTAAAAACAAAACAAGCTCCAAGAACCATACAATTTCCTTCTTATGCCCCTTCCAAGAGTGTAAGGACATTTGACAGGCCCGGTTCGTGGTCTGCTCCCATTTAGAATCACATGGTGCAGAGCAGCTTTTATCGTGTGTTGTAGATACTCCAGTCTCAGTTTGAGACAAGTCTGAGACCCTAATGTCCCAGAATATATTTTTTCCAATACTTGGGATTTTTCGAGTGTTAAAGGATTATTCTTCATACTCTTTCTTCATTTTCAATTAAGGAGAGAATATTATGGGTGGGATATAGTATACATTTTTGACTTCTCAAAAATAATTCCTTTAATTTACTGTATGCATGTATTGATTACACAAAAATTATCACTGAAAGTCACTTTACACACTCTAATATAGTTATGTGTTTTTATTTCTAAGATATAAAAGTTCTGTGTCAAGCATTATACATCACAGGCGGCAAACACAAGGCCCACAGGCTGAATCTGGCCCGGCACCTTGTTTCTACCCCGCGGCAGCACGGAGCTCCTCGCCCCTAGTCAAGGAGTAGTTACATGTACACAGTCCTAAAATGACACTCGGGCCTCAGAAGGCAACTCTGAGGCTGTTGTGGCCCCCGGTGAAAATGGGTTTGACACCCCTGTTATACATGAGTTTAGTATGAGGAATATATTCAACTTTTTCTTAAGACCTGTTTTCATTTTAGATGGAGGACTATCATGGCCCATTACCCATTTGTGTCCTCTGTCTTGATGCTCTTATCTTAATTTAGGATGTGGTTGCAGTGTCTTTGGTTATTAAGATAATCTGATTTTTCTCCTTAGTGATTTCTCCTTGAATCCTGAATTTACTCTATTCTGTTTTATCCCTATGCCTGACCTCATAAAAATGGTATATCTGGTATAGCTTTTAAAAATCACTGTTGGTATTTAATTTACATACAGTAAGAACAGCTGTCGTAAGCCTACAGTTTGATGAGTCTGGGCAAACGCACACCCGTATAACCAGTATCATGGTCAGCACTTCTGCCACCTCAAAAGGGTTCTTTATGCTCTTTTCCAGTTAGTCTCCTCACACCCCCAACTTCAGGAAGCCACTGTTCTATTTTCTGTCACTATAGTCTAGTGTTGCATTTTTTAGATCTGCAGTTGAGTGGAGAATCATATAATACATAGTCCTTTTTGATTTTGCCTCTTTTATGCAGGGTGATGTTTCTGAGATTCATCCGTGGTGCTGCAGGCTCAGGCATCAGTAGTTCATTCCTTTGTGTGTCTGGATATTGATGCACCACTATTTTATATTCACTCACTTGTCAGATATTTGGGTTGTTTCCACTTTTTGATTGTTATTATACCACTCTTTGCCCTTGTCATTTTAACATTTTATACTCCAACAGCAGTGAGGGTTCCAGTTGTTCCACCTTCTCACCAGTACTTGAGATTGTCTCCTCAAATGTCTTTTTCATTTTAGCCTAGTGGTTTGAAGTGGCAGCTCATTTTGGTTTTAGTTTGCATTTGTGTGATTGCTAAGTTACATTTTGTTGATGATAACTGTTCGACTTTGCATGTGCTTATCGTTGTTGCTTATGTCTTTTTGTGAGGTGTTTCATATGTTTCACCTGTTTTTCATTGGATTGTCTTTTTTAGTAATAAATCATGAAGACTGTATGTATTCCCGTTACAAATCTTTTGTGTATATGTACTCGGAATATTTTCCCTCAGTATGTAACTTTAAAAAATGTTCTTAATGATATCCTGAGAGCAGCAGCAGTTTTTAATTTTGATAAAAAAGTGTTTATTACCCATCTATGCTAACTAATCTTGTTTCACTTATTCTTCTCACCATTGTGTTATTTTAAAGTACATACTGACATATTATTATTATTAATATAAATACTTTAGTAAATATTCTATACTTTTTCAAAGGAAACACTATCATTATCACACTTTAAAAATTAACAAAAATCGCCCCGGCTGGTGTGGTTCAGTGGGTTGAGTGCCAGCCTGTGAACCAGAGGGTCTCCAGTTCGATTCCCAGTCAGGGCACATGCCTGGGTTGTGGGTCAGGTCCCCAGTTTGGGAGCATACCAGAGGCAACCACACATTGATGTTTCTCTTTTTTCCTCCCTTCTCCTGTCTCTAAAAATAAATAAATAAAATATTTTAAAAATAATTAAAATAGCTTCAAAAGATAACAAAAATGTGCCTCAATTTACTTGATTTTTATAAATTTATTAATACTTCATTATTAACATTTTAAAACTAGGATACAAATAAATTGTGGTATACATTTGATTGATATATTTCTTGAGTCTCTTTTAATTAAAAGCATTTTCTCCCTACAACTTAGTTTTTAAAACCTTCTCATTTTTGTTTGGAAGTATTGAAGAGATCATTTGTTCTGTAGAATCGCCTACATTCTGGATTTTGCTTATTTCATACTCATAGTACCATTTTACCATGATTGATATATATTGATAATTACTCACAGATCAGAAGTAAATCAGGTCAGGTTTAAGTCCTCCCCAAGAACTTTCTGTTACATTATATTCAAGAGGCACATACTTGGTTGTCTGTGTTTGTGATCTTACGATTAATTAGGTAGTTCAGGTATTATCAGCCTAATTCATCCATTATACAATTCTCTATCATTTATTTTCCCAATGGGCTTACCAGCCAGCATGGTTGCATCCAACAATTCAAGCTTAGTTACCTTGCAGTAACAAAAACCCCAGAGTCACAGCACCTCACAACAACACAGACTTGTGCCCCTTCCTGCTGCCTGGCCCTGGAGGCTCATCCGGCTCTGTGGCTGTCATCTTCACTGGGCTCCCTGCCGTTTTCACCTGGGGCTCGGCTTGGTGGACTGTGGTGGGGCTCCTGGCAGAAGCCATAGTTTTCCCTATCTCCTCTCTTTCTTTCTGTCCCCTTTTCTCTCATTGCAGCAGATGCTTTGTGATAAATTTAAAAAGTAGAAGGACAGAGGAATAATCTTGGAATTCTGTGTACAGCATTGGCTGTGAGTGAGGCTCTGGGTGGCTCTCCTATGAATCAAGTGTATGAGGGGGGACCCCAAAAAACACAGAAGTTATTTATTAAAAAATAGTGTATTTATTCTTACATGTTTAAACTTCAGCCACCTTCAAAATGCTCTCCATTTGATGCAGTGCTCCTATCCAGACTTTCTTCCCACTGCTCAAAACAGTTTTTGAACTTGTCGATTTTGATGCCTTTGAGTGCTTTCTGTACTGTTTGTTTCACCTCTTCCACACTGGCAAACCACTTCCCTTTGAGGACATTTTTTTTTTTTACCCAGGGAAACAAACAAAGAAAAAAATAGTCATCCTGGGCAAGATCAAGTGACCAGGGAAGGTGGGGCATAGGGGTCATGCACCCTTTTGGTGGAAAACTGCTCAGCACTCAGTGAGGTGTAGGCAGGTGTGCTTGTAAATCACCCATCGTGAAATGGGCAAATGTATTAAAAGAGTCTTCAGAAAAATTCCCTAAAGCTAAACACAGCTTCTCATAACAGTGCCAGCTGTTGGCATTGGAACCCTGATACAGAGGGGTCCCCTAGCAGAGGAAGCCTCTAAAACAAGGGGTCCCCCATTGTATTCCCTTCCAGGAAATCTACTGAACAAGACATGTATTAGTTCAGGCACACAGAGAGAGTGAGGTAATGTGTAAATCCCCTGGTTTCCTCCTTCTTGATCAACTAGGGAATGACTAGCATCCTTAAAATTTTTGTTAGTATTAATAAACATTTAATTTAAAATGTTTCTCTACACATAATGTACATTTAACAAGCACTTTTTACGTTTTTAAAGTTAATGATTCCACACTACACATGTAATTGTCTAATTATTCTCTACTCGTAGGTCATCATCATCTCATGGTGGTTTTTTTGTTTATGCATGGTTCATTCACCTGATCTAAGAAGATTTTACAAGTCTTCGGTTGTGCCGGTGATAGATGTTTTAATGGCTTAAAGCTTTTTGGCTGATACTATAAGGAAAACTGCAGTGAATTTTGTTGTATATCTGCTTGTTCATGTGTGTGGCTTCTAGACATACATGCACACATATACTTGGAAATAGAATTTTTAAGTAATAGAGCATGCCCTTCTTCAGCTTTACCAAATACTGTGAAATCACTTTCAGTATTGGTCTACCACTTTATTTATTTATTTTTAAAGATTTTATTTATTTATCTAATTTAGAGGGGAAGGGAAGGAGAAAGGGAGAGAAACATCAGTGTATGGTTGCCTCTCGTGCATCCTCTGCTGGGAACTGGCCTGCAACCCAGGCATGTACCTTGACTGAGAATCGAACCGAGATCGTGTGGTTCACAGACCCGGGCTCAGTCCACTGAGCTACACCAGCCAGGGCAGTTTTCCATTTTATATCCTCACCTGTAATGCCATTAGTCCCAATCATTCTGTTTGCTAACACTTTATTATTGACATAAACATTGTCCTGTTAATGGCTTTGACTTGATCACAGTATTGTTTTAATTTTCAGTTCTTTGACTACTTAATGCATTTATTGGGTTAAATTTTAGTTTCCTCTCCTTTAAATTTGTTGTCTACAACTTGTTCCTGTTTATCAGTTTTTCCGTGGTTAATGCATTCTGGACACAAATTATTTGATGATTACATACTGGTTACTTTGTTCATGGTGTCTTTTGTTTTACAAAATAATGAAGTAATTTTTTTCTTTTAGAATTGTTGCTTCTGGTATCTTATTGAAGAAATATTTTCTTTTTGGCGTCCAACTCAAGAAAATTTTCTCCACTTTGCAGTTATAAAGATCTTTTATAAGTCGTTAAAAAATGATAAAACTTTGTAACTTTACAACTATGTCTTTTATACACCTGACATCTATTTTTGTTCATGATACGAGGGAAGGAACTAATTTGATTTTCCTTTTCATATGGACAACCAGTTATTCAGTACTTGGAGTTGCCCAATCCATTCCTTCCCCCAGTGTTTTGTAATGATATCTCGGTCATATATCAAGCTTATATGGACATGTTAAGTGTACATGTTTATAGGATGTTGTTTTGTTTTGTTTCAATAATATTACTATCTGGTGAATTCTTTCAATCCGCTTCATGAGGAATTAATTGCCTTGGCTGCTTTGGGCATATGCCTGCAGCCCCCCATGTGAATTTAAAAATCAGCTTGTCAAGTTATATACTAAAAAAATGTTGTTGGAATTTCTATTAGAATTAGACTGTGAATTTATAGATTAGTTAAAAAGAAGTGTCACAGATTTACTTGTGTTCTCCCAAGTATAAGACCATGATATAATCCTTCATTTGCTGGTAGGTCTTTTAATAAATTCCTGCATTTTCCCCATTAATGTCTTGTACTTTTCTTTTATTAGGTTTACTCCTTGGTAACTTAGACTATTTGTGTTCATTGTAAATGAAATTAAATTTTACTGAATGTAATGATTTTAAAATTACATATTACAAAATTTTAAAAAAATTATATATGCTAATTGTTTATTGCTTGGTCTCTAGGGACACAATTGATTTTGCTTATTGCAGTCTTGCTAAAATTCTTTTACTTCTCATATAGCCTTCCTCAAGATTACTGTTGTTAATTACATTTTCTGCAAATAACAACAGCTTGCTTTTTCTTTCCAGTGTTTATATCTTAGTTTTTCTGCATTAGCTGATATTTTAGTATAATACTAACTAAAACCTGTGAATAGGGGTCATCCTGACTGTAAAAGGAATGCTTCTAGAGTTTGTTTTTTTTTTTACCACATTGTATTGTAAGTTTGTAAAGGTAACCCTTATCTGATAACAAAAGCCTTATCTGAGCAAGAAACTTTATTTTTATTTCTATTGTTTTGTAAACATTTCTTATATTGAATGGGTATTGAAATTTGTTGAATTCTTTCTGTTTTAATTTCTTAATTTGGTATATTACATTAATATATTTTCTAATGCATTAATTTCTATAAGCCTTTTTGAATTAAACAGTTGGTTTAGAATTGTGTAAAGTATGTATAATTTTTAAAATACTTTTGCATCTATATTTAATAGATGTAACTTTAAAACTGTAATAAGTAAATAGTTGTTGAATGAAATTAACTCTTTGTACTTGTACATTGGAACATTTCATGAAGCTCAAAGGATTTTCTTCTTTCACCCTGTTTTGTCTCTTGTTTTAAGAATACTTATTTAGAGTGCGTTTCAGTGAAAGGAAGACAGAGGTATATATTAGATGGATAGTTTGGTCACTCTTCGTTGCCCCTTTACCTTCTACTACACGTGGAACCTGATACGAAGAGAGGAGATCATTTACTTGCCCACCAGCTTAATCTTTTTCAGCATAGACCAGTAAAATGAATATCTCAGCCAGTTTCTGCAGCAGATGGATTTCTAGGAGTTATGCGACTCTCATCATAAACTTGTGTTTTAGGTGCTTGGCACGTAGTCTGATAGCTTATAAAAATCTCCCAGTGTTACAATTTCATATTTACAATGAAATCTGTATGTATTTTACAAAACAAAGTTGTAAAAGATAAAAATAAGTAAATAGTATCCAAGAGAAACTCTGTAATGCAATACATCACGCCCACTTTGGGAAAAGGAAAGGCTGTGGTTGAATTGATCATGTGTATGTGTGTGTACTTAGGCATTTGTCTAAGTATGGAAATAACTATGCAAGGATAGGGTTCATAGTGATTCATTTCCTTGCATATTCATACATCATTAAGGTGAAATTCAGAGAAAATACATGGACAGTATTGATTGAATTATTAAGAGTATGTGTTACCCTTGATTGGGAAACTTTACTGTGAAAGCCCAAATAGTATATATTTTCGGCTTTCCAGCCCATGTTGTTTAAGTGACAAATGTTCAACTGGCATGGTGGCCCCAGAACAGCCATAAATGATATGTAAATAAAGAAGCATATCTGTTTTCCAGTAAAACATTGTTTTAAAAACCAGGTGGCTGGTCAGATTGGGCACATGGGGCCTATTTTGCCAACTTAAGTACGTAGAGATTGATGGTCACTAGTGAGAACTAATGGGGAGTTTTAATCTCGTGCCAGACATTTTCTCATAAATAAGCTACGTTAGTCTTTACTTCTCATAGAAATTAGAGAAAAATCGATTACTGTAAACTGACCTGTGTAGCCTTATGAATTACAGTGTATCCTGTACATATAAGTAGATGCGTACATGCAGTAAGGACATTCCAATTTATACATCATGGTTCTCCATTGACAAGTAAATGGCCATTGAACAGTTGTTTAATATAAAGAGCCAAAAAATCACTTTGAACTATTTTTGTTTAATGAGTTAAATGAAACTTTGAAAGTTTTGTATTACAAATTCAAACACTTTTTATATTCCTAGGCTAAAGTCTGGAAGTAGTTCATGATGAAAATATAAAAGTATAAAGAAAGTGCTTATACAAACTGCATGAAATATACACAAATGATTTTACTCTAAAATCATTTTTTATTTAAAAAAATTTAAAAATTACTCTAAAACAATTTTAGAGTAGTCAAGGCTTAAGAACTTCCTAGAGTAACTTAGTTTATATTTGTTTAAATCTGACAATATTGTAAGTAGATAAAAAGAAACTGGTTTTTGTGCAACTGTCACTTGCTTTTTGTAGTTTAAAGAACGCTCTTTAATTCCTCCTCTGTATTCCTTTGCCTCATCCAGTTCTGGAAGTTGCCGTGCTCAGCACAGAAGGACAGGTCCAAGACTTTAAGTTCCCTCTGGGCATCAAAGGAGCCGGCAGCTCAATCCAGCTCTCTGCAAACACCGTCAAACAGAACAGCAGGAATGGTGAGATGGAACCTTCTTTTAAAAATGGATGTTTTAGTTTTTGTTCTGTTAAACATGTTAGTTCTAAAATGCTAAATAAAGATTCTATAAGGACTTTTTTCATTTTTATTCTCATTCAATGTATTTTTTATTCATAAGCCTATTTCCTCTGGAGTCACTTCAGTTTTTACTTTCCTAGGACTTGCAAAGTTGGTGTTCATCATTTACCGGAGTCTGGGACAGTTCCTTAGTACAGAAAATGCAACCATAAAACTGGGTGCTGACTTTATTGGTCGTAATAGCACCATTGCAGTGAATTCCCACATCATTTCAGTTTCAATCAATAAGGAATCCAGCCGAGTGTACTTGACAGATCCTGTGCTTTTTACCCTACCACACATCGATGTAAGTTACGTATGTTAATGAAGTAGGGGAAAGAAGCAAAGCTGGGATGGGGAGAGAGGGAAGTGGGGTATAGCCGAGTGGCCAGAAAGGGCCTTTCCATTTGAATTTCATATGAAGTGCTAGGTCAGACACACAAGTTTATTTAAGTCTGTGAACATAAAATTAAATGAGGTTCAGTGATTATTCAAACTTAAGTGTATTCTTACTAAGAGCTAATAGAGTAATCAGTAGGAAAATGTAAATGACTATAATTTGTTTTAGAATGAAAATTAACTCTTACCTTAGCAGCAGGATAGCCAAGTATTAACTGATAGGACTCTGCTAATCGGTATGTGGCAGATTTGTTGTGGTTTTACTGATCACATTTGACAAAATTGTTATCAAGCACTCTGCCTTTAAAAATCGACGATTGAAGAGAGATGCCTTAGCATGCAAGTTGGTGGTTAAAGAATTATACTGTGTTGGGAGATTGTCTGCAGAACTTTGGCTGTTACATGTAGAGTGAGTAAGTGCCCACAGGTAGCCAAGAGGATCTCCAGTATTGGCAAAGAAAAAAAACTTTGTGTGACTATTCTCTGTTTATATCTGCTGCAGTGTATTCACTCTTTTATGAATCCTGACATTGCTAATGTGTCACCGAAAATAAAAATGAGCCCAGTACGGAAAATGGATTTTAAAACACTTGGTCCTTATAGGATTTTCTTAGAACAAATTCATGGATCTGATGTTATTGGAAAAGGAAAGGAAATGATTCTAATGTACGATCAGTAGTAAAATCATAAGATGGAAATTGTAATTGTGTAAAATGGGTCCTTGGTAATTTAGAGTACACTTTAGAATGTTTCGGATTATAAAGCCCCTTTTAAGTTAGATATCTGCCTTGTATAACACAGTCTACAATTTTGCTGATGAAAAACTTTATAGTCCGAAACATGCAAAGTTTAATCTCAATTACTTTTTACTCATATTAAACAATTGCTATTGCCATCTTACAGTGTAAAATCCTAATTTTATCTTGTCATTTTATTTCCCAGCCCGACAATTATTTCAATGCAAACTGCTCCTTCTGGAACTACTCGGAGAGAACTATGATGGGATATTGGTCTACCCAGGGCTGCAAGCTGGTTGACACTAATAAAACTCGTACAACGTGTGCATGCAGCCACCTAACCAATTTTGCAATTCTCATGGCCCACAGGGAAATTGCAGTAAGTATTTGCACTTCTAATTAGTAGCAGAGAAAAACCTCAGAGATTCAAAACAGCTCGTGTGGTAATCCTTCTTTGGGTGCTAATCATAACTAAAAAGCAAACAACGTAATGTAGCTTTCTAATGTTTCTGTACTGGCCAGTGTTTGTACACTGGCCATAAATTTTAGGAAGCTGGGGCACTATATTTATTGGTATTTCTCATATCATGTGCTTGACAGATTTGTTCTAAGATTTTCCTCCTTTGGGCAGGTGTTTGGCAGAGGTGGTTGGGGACTGAACATCAATAAGTCATACAAAAGAGAGAAGGCTCTAAAACTTAATATACCGTCCTCATCTTGAATGTTCAGATCTCATTTTATAACTTTTACTTTAAGTTTCCTCATCATTTTGCACACTACAGAACTGCTGGTTTTGAAAGGTCAGAATAGCTTCTGGAATGGTCCTTAGCATTCTTTTTTATGATTAAGAAAATGAAATAAAGAACAATCTGACAGTAATCAGAGAGGAGGAGAGAGAGGGATAATAAGGGGTATTGGGGAGCATCAAGGAACATGTATAAAGGACACATGGACAAAGCCAAAGGGGGTGGGTTTGAGGGTGGGAGGCAGGGATGGGTGGGGAGAGGGGTGAAAATGGAGACAATTGTACTTGAATAACAATTTAAAAAATGATAGCCAGAAGATAAAAAGTATTTTAACAAGCACAGCATGAAAGCTCTCAGCTCTGTTGTGTACTCGATTCTTAGTAGAGATAGTTAAAGCTTGACTTTGACTTCTACGTTAGCTTAGAAAATCATGTAAATACCGGTCATTTTAAATCATAACTAAGTATCCTTTATTCTTTTATATATTTTTCTATATGTTTTTGTAGGTAATTATTTTAATCATTTTGAAATAAGTGAGCTCTCTCATTACTTTGTAGTAAAACCTTCGACTTTCATAAGTCATTCTCTGGATATAAAGGTCGATAATACTGAACTCCATTATATGATCAAAATTTCACTTTCAGTATTGAGCCCTGTTTCAGCACACATGAAGATTCAGAGAGTTTAGTATTATAAGATGAGCTATGACATTTGAAAGCTCTCTCACCTTTAGTTGATGTAATGCAAGATTGTTAATGTGCCTTATATCTTTTATTTTCAGTATAAAGACGGAGTTCACGAATTACTCCTTACAGTCATCACCTGGGTGGGAATCGTCATTTCCCTGGTTTGCCTGGCCATATGCATCTTCACCTTCTGCTTTTTCCGCGGTCTGCAGAGTGACCGTAACACTATTCACAAGAATCTTTGTATCAACCTTTTCATTGCTGAATTTATTTTTCTAATAGGCATTGATAAGACAAACTACATGGTAAGCACCCCTTCAGTGAACTGACCTAGGATCTCTGGGAATTTTTATGAGGAGTGCGAATCCATTTATGTGCCGATATTAGTAGTTGACCTTGTAACAGCATACATGACATGGCAATATTGAAAGATAATCTGTAATAAATTGAAAGGCAGCCCAGTTGTTAAAGAATTATGGGTTCATTCATTTCTTATATTAAAGCATAGTTGCATTTTCCTGGGTTGTTAGTAAGACATGTACTTTGATTAGAAGAATGCAGGGAATACTGAGAAGGAAAGATCCTGTTTTCACAGTTTTCATTTTCTCACGTAGTTATTCTGACCAGTGGCCATTTCTTTGTATTCTGAGCACTTTATTCATCATGAGGTTTCAGTGTTAGAAACAGAACTTAATAATTAGTCAATTTTTCACCCCATTTACATCTGCGTTGGGTTGAATTTAGAGTGCTCCACATAGGATAGGAAATGATGTCAGGTAATTGGAGCAGACGTATTTGTCATTAAAGCAAATTTTTACATTCTGATACAGAAAAGGTGGAAATAATATATTTGGAAACAACTGGTCTAAAAACTTATGAGATAGATCACCTAAAATTAGAATATTCATATTAATAGATAATTCCAGAAGAGAAATTATGTTTTCTTATTTCTTGATTTTTTAAAATTTCATTACAAATAGTAATCTCTTATAGTGATGAAATTTCTGGCACACCCAGCATTATACTACAAGCAATAAATTCCTCAAGTTTGGCCATGTCTGTAACTTATTCCCATTTTTAAAAAATATTTTCAAGAAGCAGTATTTAAATAATGATGTATTTTAAAGACAGTAGTGACTGCTATCAGGGACTGTGCCACAGTTTTGGAGTGGGCTGTGTGTTCACGGGTTCTCCTTTGTGTTTTTTGTTCTTTTGCTTTATAGATTGCGTGCCCAGTATTTGCAGGACTTCTACACTTTTTCTTTTTGGCTGCTTTTGCTTGGATGTGCTTAGAAGGTGTGCAGCTCTATCTGATGTTAGTGGAAGTTTTTGAAAGTGAATATTCCAGGAAGAAATATTACTATGTTGCTGGTTACTTGTTTCCTGCCACGGTGGTTGGAGTTTCAGCTGCTATCGACTATAAAAGCTACGGAACAGAAAAAGCGTAAGTAATTGCAAGCGACCTGAGTGTTTTTCAAGTGAATAATTTTTTTAAAGCCTGTTAGCTGTCAGTGAGGTTCCCTGACAGACTAAAATAGCCTCTGAAAGCTTTATTGGTAAGAGAATGGGCATGCCGGGCACAAATTACAATCAAGTCTTTTGTAATTTTCTAGGTTCAGAGCATTTGTACTCTGGCGAGGCAGATACTAAATTACGGACTTTTTTTTTAACACAAAAGATTGACCTGAAACAAATTGAAAAAGTAAATAACTTTTTGGCCTTAGAAAGATATTAAGTAAAAATGCTTCTGAACTTAAAGCATCTGACAGGTTTAACTACTCAGTTTTAAGTTAATGCTTCATTAGCTCTCTTTGTGCCGCCAGCCCTGTCACCAACTCTCATTCTGAACTGCGAGAGGAGCACATTCCTTCCCATATGTTTTACTTTGATAATATTTTATCAGGCAGTTTGAAAGGATTAAAATAAGTACTGTCTTTCATTTATTAAAAAAACAGATATTTATGGAACGTGACAGAAGGCACACATAGCCATGTTTCTAAGGATTTTATTTGCTAGAGGCATGAATTTGCTTTCCAATTCTGTTTATTTTTTTTCCTTTGATAAAATTAGTCATATAAAGATTCTTTGGACTAAAGAAAGCTTTTGGACTGTGCAGATGATGAAAGACAAATAAAAGAAATTCAGTGGGGATTCAGTGTTATATGAAAAATGAGCCACTAAGTAAAATCTGTCTTAATAAGTTTATGCATCATTTACTCTAATACTTCATGAGTCTATGCTTTATTTTTTCCTAGTATTCATCCATTACTGTTGAAGTATTATATTATACAGTTTTGCAACAAACATAATGTAAACTTTTTTGTCCTAATGTTTCTTAAGGCTAAACATGTTATATAGAATTGAAAAACAAAAATTGAGTATAAACTTTAAAATGATGAGACAATTTGGAGTATTGAATTTCAAGTTTTTCTTAGTAAAGTCAGAGGTCTTGAGGATTGAAATGTGGTGGGGTTTATTATTCCCTCATAAAAGCATAAGTATGCCTTTATCAAATTAAAACCTGAAATGAAAACCAGTAGGCTGAAGTAGTTAAATTAGTACTTGTTAAGTCCGAGCCAGCCAAGAATTAATAAAACTGATAAATGAATTTTCAAAGGCAAGTATAAAGATAGTTGTGTTAGATTTTTAAATGGTTACTTTCAATGTGATATTGAAGATGCACTGAAGCTACTTAATACATATTCTTTTCTTTTCATAATAGTTGCTGGCTTCATGTTGATAACTATTTTATATGGAGTTTCATCGGACCTGTGACCTTCATTATTCTGGTACGCAGACTCTGTTTTCCTTTCACTCTCAGCCTGCTGCTTTAGCAGTGTTTTTAAAAAGGGAATAATTTTGTTTTATTGTCAATTTATCTGTGATGTAAAGATTATAAACACATCTAGTTTATGGGGTAAAATTATGTAGTGTATTTTAAATATTATGCCATTATTGAGAGTTTATACACTTACCTAATTAGTAATGTGTTTGAAAATCCCCTCTCCTCTAAAAAGTACTTATTCTCATTTCTACTTTTTATAACTATGTCATGTCATAATCTTTGAAATCTATTCATATATAAGCCATGTTAAGATTGCATGATTTGAAACTAATTTGATAATTAGAAAGGAATAACTGATATGTAGAGCACATACTCTTCCTGAGTAGTGGAGTTTTTTGCTGAGAGTTTTAATTCAGGAAGCTGTATCTTCCCAATCTACAATATTAGTCATGTACCAAGCCTGTGTAGCGTTTATAAATTAAATGAATGTTTTGTGGAAGTAAAAGAACATTAGCTTAACATTTGTATCTTAATTTATACACAGTAATTTAGTGCTTTTAAATAAATGTCCATGCCTAAATTCTTTTAGGGTAGTTTTTTTTAAATTTTACTTTTCAATTACATTTTACATCCAGTGTTATTTTGTATTAGTTTCAGAGAACAGACTGTTGGGTGCCAGAGGGGTGGGGCTTTGGGGGGTGAAAAAGGTTAAGGGATAAAGAAGCACGAATTGGTGGTTACAGAAGTCACAGGGAGGTAAAGTGCAGCGCAGGGAATGTAGTCGATGTATTGTGATAACTAGAAACAGAGCCAGGTGGGTACTTGAAATATCAGGTGGACTACTTCGTAAAGTATGTGATGTCAAAAAGATACTGGAAGATTAGATTAATAAATGAAAAATAAATCAACTTTATTTATTTTTAGTTTTTAAGATTTTACTTATTTATCTTTAGAGGGGAAGGGAAGGAGAGAAAGAGAGAAATATCAATGTATGGTTAACTCCTGTGGGTACCCTGCTGAGAATTGGCCTGCAACCTAGGCATGTGCCCTGACCAGGAATTGAACCACAGTCCTTTGGTTCATAGGCCCATGCTCAGGCCACTGAGCTACACCAGCCAGAGCCCAGGATTAAGTTTTTAGAAATAGGTTTTATTGACCATTATAAGATTGTAAAGGAAACGTAAGTTTAAATATTGCCAACATCTTTTATTACTACTTAAGCATTCTATTTTCTTTAATGAGCCTATGAAGATATTTCTTTGGTTAACTAGTGTTTCATAAAATTGAGAAAAAGTTTAGTACTTCAAAGAAATTTGAAGCAACTGTGTGTATGTACATTTGTCATTAAAATGAATTTTTTACACACTTATACAAAACAAAAAGATAATTTGAGATGAATGCCAGTATGATGAGTTCAACTACTAAAACATTCTCAGATGTTCCTAGGAAAACAGATTTCTTATCAAAATCATTCAATACAGAAAATTGTCCCATTTTTTTCTCAGTTTACATAAATTTAACACAGCCAAAGTCTATCTTGAATTATAAGACAAAGAGCTAACATGAAAGGGTTTTATCCTTAAAGACTCGGGATTCTGTTTTGCCCCTCATCCCTTGGCCAAACATATTGATAGTTTGAAAATTGTAAAGACTTCTGTAGGGATATTTGGTCTATAAAAGTATTACGTGTTTACTTCTTTCATACTGCAGTTTTGTTTACTTTCTATCTCTAAACATAAATACTGGCTTTGAGGATTTCACACAGTGAAAGGAGTTAATGTTCACATATACTGGGTTTCCAGTAAGAAAGAGACAAAGGACGCTTGATTATATTACCCATTTACGGTGTCATTATTATCCTCCACCAAATCATTTCAGTTGAGATGTGAAGGGCTTTTGGGAACAGTGTCCCCAACTTCAAACAAAACAAAACAGCAGGTAGCAATCACAGTAAAGATCCTGAGAGTAATTCTTCCCTTGCAATTGCTCTGCCCTCCAGTTGTCCCAGCACAGAGACAGAGAGTGGAATAGAGCGTAAAACAGCATCTTGCATGTAACCTAAATTGAGCTATGACATAACTGTAGAATACATGTTTGTTAAATACTATTCTTTGGGGAATACAGGACACTTAAAAGTCAATTCAGACACACATCTTAATAATATAAATCACATAGTATAATACACTTTTAAGGAGTACTCTTGGAACATGTTTTGCATTTCCAGCTTTTCCGAATCGAAACCATTTAACTTAGTAGTATTAAATCAGTGTACCTCTTTAATAACGTTCTATGAAGAAAAATAACATGCTATGGAAGATAAAACCTCCTACTTCGTATTTCTTTTGAATGTCTCGCCTACAGGCCACTAGAGTTGTTATATCTATGAGAAAAGTGCTTGTAAGTAATGAGCAGTGGGAAACCATTAGTATGCCAGAAATGGTTTAATGAAAGCTTGGATCATGACACCTCAGAAGCTATTCTTATCATTTGGACAGCTCCATCTGCATCGTTAATAATTAATTCAGTTCAGAAAGAGTTCAGCTCACACACTCATTTAGAAGTCTTCTTCAGAGAACACCTCTCTGGCTGCCAGTCCCTGGGAGAAATCGGTTTCTGCTTGGCTTACAGCAAAGATTTGGAGATACAAGTGCAGTTTTAGAGTTGCATTTGCCAGGTAGCACAAGCTCTGGGGAGGACAAAAAGGGTCAGAACATGTGCGGTTCAGTTAGGTTACTTCAGAGTGGTGTTTCTGTTCTTCTGTCTTATCATATCCATGTCAGCACTGCAAGCTGTGGAATGAATTTTAAGCTGCTAAGCTCAGGCGGATGTGATTCAATTGAGCAGGTTGATGACTGTAACACAAACTGCACATTCCTATAATCTGTGGAACCTCTGTTTTTAAATATCTCATGTCATCGATATGGGTGATGAATAGCTGTGCTATATCATTAAGCAGCAATGAATTTTAGCAGTGAATTATACTGGAAGATCATTTAAACAATAATTTATAAAATTGTTATTTGGGGATAGGTAAAAGAGCATTATTTGTCATTGAAGAGAAAGAATCCCCCACTTGGTGACTTACTCTTTTTTTAGCTAAATAGGACAATATTTTTCCTTTGAATTTGCTGTCACTCTTTCACAAAGAGTTCTGTTGAGATGTGTATATAGCTATTTATCTGTGTGCACATGCAAACACGTGCACTCACACAAAGCGAGTTAAAATCTGATTAATTCCTGGATGAGTTGCCTCATCTCTGAAATTAATTACCAGCGTGGGCATTTAGGCTGGTGAATCGACACACACAGCGCCTAACACAATCCTATAACCCTGTACTTACTGGGGGCTTCTCTATGAATGATTGAGCAATGACATGTGCCTACCAGGTTTAGACAAATCTTTTTATGCATAGCTATAACCCTATCTTTTTCATTTCTCACTGGTATATAATACCTTTCAACCTATCCCAAAATACTGTGTTTAAACTCAGTAGCATTTACGTTGGAAAGAAAAAGTGGATAACAAGAGTGCAAAGTGGTTGTATTGGAACTGAAGGGAGAACAGCTGCTCTTGGACAGGGGAGACGGGCTTCTCTCCTTGTCTTCTCTGCCTGCTTTCCAGCGAGAAATAGGAAGATTCTACATTTGATGGTTGTGATTTATTCTTCAAATGCATACCAAAGGCAGGAAAATACATTGGAAGAAATAAAAGTGAGACACAAGAAATCCCTGTAACAACGAAACAATAACAACAGATAAGAATAAGAGGCACGGAAGTATATGGCTGTAAAGAGTCATTCATGCCATGGGAAAAATACAGCGAGGAAAGAACTCAAATCACAGCCAGTGCTTTATCTGCAGTTCACCCTTTTAGGTCTTTAAGTGGCTGTTTTGGATGATAGATTTCTAATCAAATCAAAGATGTTTCTGTTTGCCCATTTGTTCTGATTTCTAGTCATATTTTAAGAGGACAAGAATTGATTAGAAGAGATGGGAAATTTGTTGAAGTATTTTACTCTACAAAATCATGATTCTTATTAGAGTATATTATCTCCTGAAAAGATCATAGCAACAGTATTTATCCTCTGAAAATAAAACTTAGCATTTTCACTTTAAAACATTGGAAAAATAAAAGAACTCTAAATTCACATTTAAAAATTTGGTTTAAACTTCAATCAAATACCATATGCTCTCACCTGTAAGTAGAACCTAATCAACAGCACTAACAAGCAAACAAAATAGAACTAGAGACATGGAAATAAAGAACAAGCTGACAGTGACTGGAGGAGAGCAGGGAGAGGGACCCCAGGAGCAGGGGGAGGGTCAAGTCAAGGAACATGTGTAAAGGACTCATGGACAAAGACAGTGGGGCCTGGGGGCAGGTAGTGAATGTAGGGGGTGGGTGCCTGGGGCAGGGGAGAGTGATGGGAAAATGGGGACAACCAGTTGAACAACAAATTATTTTTTAAATTATCGTTTGAACTTCAGTGTATATTCTTTTTAATTTCAGAAAACACTTCACTGCCATATGTTGGTGGTAACATGTTCAATACTTAAAGGATGTATATTTTTAATTTGTCCAATAAAACAAATATGTATTAGTGGAGTTTGTTAATGAAGATTGAGGTGATGCCTTTTTTCATAATTTGACTTGAAATGATGTTTCATCCTATGAAAGATACCATTACCTCACCATTTGTCCACCTTCAAGTCCCATTTCAAAGACTAAATTAGTGTTCAACTTAAATATAAGTTTCTTGGGACCTAAACATGAGTGGATTGACTATAATTTTATTTTTAACTTATTTAAATTGGAGAATTCACAGACACTTCTGAAACTATCTGAGTCAAATATCCTTCTGTGGTTTTATGATTATTTTTAGTTGATTTTAAACAGATTGGCTTTAAAAATGTCCTTTGGAAACGTTTATAATATCAAGTACCTTCAAAAGAATAGCCCTTAGTTTTGCACTCAGCTTTTATGGCTCGGTGTGATATTTAGCTATGTGAGCATAACACCAGTGGGTTTGAGAAAACACAACTTACTGTTACACAGGGTTTGGCTGGTGGGAACAAGTGTGTGGGCGTTTCAGGCACTTGCTGATGATGGAGTGGTAGTGTTTTACGAAGGAAACAGAGCATTCGTTGTTTCAGCAAGCCCATCAGGTAGAAGTCATTTGACAAGCACACCTCATGTTATTTAGGATTTCTTTGAGGTTGTATTTTACACATTAATTAATTTATTATTTATCTTCAACTCATTCATCATCTGAGTGATTTCTAAATTAGATTACTGTAGCTAAAAGTGGAATGCTTCTTAAAATGTGAGCCTAGTATATATCTCTGTTTTGTTGGAAGGCTATTTTTTTTCTCCCAGAATAAATTGGTTCATTATTTGGAAAGGCTGTGGTCTGCAGAGCCGGCCCCACGGTCTACTGAACCTCAGCACTGACGTTCCAGTACTGACGTTCCAGTAGCTGAGTAGTCTTTGGTCAAGATACCTAATGTGGCAGGCAGGTTTGTAAAGTGGGTCTCCAGTTGTATTTGTTTTAGATTTATTTAATTATTGTTCAAGTACAGTTTTCTGTCTTATACACCCATCCCCGCCCACCCCCCCAGTGCTCCCCACCTCCCTCCCATTTCCCCCTCGCCTTAGTTTTTGTCCATGTATCCTTTATATTTATTCCTGTGAAACCTTCGGTTTTCCCCTGAAATTCTTTCCCCTCTCCCCTCTGGTCCCTGTCAGCCTGTTCTGTATTTCAGTGTCTTTCTGAAATACTGAAATCCAGTTGTATTTTAAAAGAAGAAGAAAGGAGTAGCGGGGCCGGTGTGCTGCCCGTGACTACCTCTGGAGATAGATTGTTGTTCAGTTTCTTTTCTCCTGTAATTTTGTGAACTTTATGTGTGGTGATGTATTATATGTGTAACTAGAAAAAAAAACAAAATGCGTGTGTGTATTTTATATATAATATTACCCTCAGGAGGGTGAAGGAAGAAAGGAAGATGCATGTAACAGTCTATTTGTTAAGAATTAAATGAGATACGTGTCCTGTGGCACATTCTGTAATACCTGGTTAGTCCTCAGTGTTTAAAACACGGAAATGTCTTTGTATCATACTTTGCCTTAATTCTCCTTTTATGTAGTTGGTTTTCTATCTATTGGGAAATGCATTACTGACTTTTACCTGATTTTCTTCATTGAAAAACATATTTGGAGGGGCCCCCCCTCCAACATTTCACATTTTCTACTCATTTTCTTTTCATAGCATAATGCTTTGTGCATCCACATGTTGCCACATTCACATTTTTATTTCCTTGTAATTTATACATTGTAGTGGATAATAACTTTTTTTCTTCCTGGAATATACGACTGCTATTATTATTTTATTCCTTAGGGAATAATTAATATGCATAATGAATACCAGGTTGTGGCTTCATATGCTTTGGGAAAATGTTTAAGAAAGAGGGAGGTTGAGCAACAACCTTAGGTCCAGAAGTTTGGGGTAAAAGGAAGAAATCATTTCATTAGGACGTTAAAAAAGAAGGGTCAAGGGATTTTAGGATTTTAACTCTGCTTCTGTAAAACTGCCTTTCTTACCTAAGAGTTGTACTCATTTTATCCATTTACATGGGTTTGGGTTGGTTGGTTGGTTGGTTGGTTTTTAAGATATTTGAGTTCTTATTTTTAACCATTCCTTAAATTTACTAGTAAAGGCCTACGATTGCATAAAGTAAAAAGTAAACACACTGTTGCTTTTGACTTTTAAAAAATTAGAGATACACTGCATCATAATTTTTAAAAAAACAGATCGAATGTTTACTTCCTGCCAGCAGGCTTTGTCTAATTTCTCAAAGGCAGAATTTATGTCTTACCCACAGTACAGTAAACACATTCTTGTGTGGGGCAGCAAAGTCAGTAAATATTTGTTGAATAAAATGTATCATGTTATAACATCCCTTGAAGTGTAATCTTTTGTTTATATCGTGGTCAACTAGAATAATACTCCAAATGTGAAACTAGAAAAATGTTTCTACAAATGTGTTTACCTTTTCTCTGTATAAATATTTTAAGAAATTAATTTTAAGTACCATTTTAAACAAAGAGCTTTTTTTGTCCTCAAGTAATTAACATAGAATGCTGTCTGCCAACACTTGCAAATTATGCCCATTAACCTCATTTTCTCCCTTAAGAAGAAATTCTACAGCTAAGAGAAGTAGGCACCCAGAACAAAGTGACTGCTAAACAGCTTAGATTAAAGCCTTTGCTGTGTTCCTAAACTCATTAGGAAGAACTTGGAAATTTTATTTATTGCCCTATATCACTTTTCCTAATATAAAATCGGAAGTACTAATGAATGGCTAAAGTACGTTATCACTTTGTCACATGGTATCAGGATAGTAAAAGTAGCCATGTTACTGCAACAAACTTACGTGTTACCTGCCACCAAGAAATTGCTTCATCCCACATTCAGTGGGTCTTTATCGGAATATACTGTTTGGACTTGCGCTGTCTTCAAGTCATACAAAGCTCACAAAATAATTCTGTTTCACCTTTTTTTAATGTAACAATCGGAAGTAAATAAAATGTCAAAAAAACAGGACCGATCTAGTTTAGTTGTATTTTTACAGCATAAAAATGGAACTGCCTCCCCTCTGTCCAGCGTTCTGCCAGGTGACTGTAGAAGCAAATGCAAATTACAAACCTTTACCTCTCCTCAGTCAAAACACAAGGCCTTTCTTCTGAGTGCATTCATGTTCATCTCCCCAGTGTCCATCATAGGTCAGGTTTCATCTTCCCCAGTTTGCTTTGGTTAGCACCTCGTCGTTTGTTTTTTTTTTTTTTTTAGCACAGCCGAATGATTTAGAGGGACTCAAATGGCCCTCGGAGACTAGGAAGTAGGAACTGATGGCTTTTGGTGGTTAATTGGGAAATATATGTGTGTATATATTTAAGTTTATCTGACTTTGTATAGCTAACATTTTTTATATTTTTATTTCATCTGAGCATCACAATTACCTTACAAATAGATTGTGCAGTTATTATCACCCTTATTTAAATAGGCAAAATGCAAAGCTAGACTCAGGCAGCTAAGTGTTAGGGTCCGGAATCCAGCAACCCTTCTATTATAGTCTACATGATTTAGTTTTTTCTAAGTAATGTACCTCAGTGTTTCCTAGATGGCTTTGAGGCCCTGGAGTACCTTTAGCTCAGGGGTGTCACACTCATTTTCACCAAGGGCCATATCAGCCTCACGGTTGCTTTCAAAGGGCTAAATGTAATTTCAACTCTTCAACAGTTAAGGAGTAGTTACATTTATACAGTCCTAAAACTATTTCGGCCCTTTGAAGGCAGCTGTGAGCCTCATGTAGCCCCCAGTAAAAATGAGTTTGACACCCGTACTCTAGCTAAAGAAACTAATTTAGGTATCTAATTCATTTAATCATCATCACTTGATACTAATTTAATGAGGTTGCAACTTCATGTCAAATGATCTGTTGAAAAATCGATCAAACATAGAGTATTTCGTATTTTAGACTTGCTCATTGCATACATAAACTAAAATTGGATCATTGTCTATTATATACTCATGTCATTGATATTTAACTGCATTAGTTCATTAAATTTGCAAAAACTTTTCTTTTGTATTTTTCGATCATAGTCATCTAATTCTTTTTTTGTATGTTATCACAGCTAAACATTATCTTCCTGGTGATCACACTGTGCAAAATGGTGAAGCATTCAAATACTTTGAAACCAGATTCTAGCAGGTTGGAAAACATTAAGTGAGTGTTTTGTATTTTAATTTGAGTGCTTGACAAACTAAGTGAAAGATATTCATTCTCCACAGGGAATACATGAGTACCTTCCATCAACTGTAGAAATTACTCAGAATGAGGTTTTACTGATGGAGGCTGAGTTCACCTGTGACCATGTCACAGACGTTGGTCAGAAATTAGATAATACTGTCTGCCTTGATCCAGAGCCAAGAAATTTGTTTCCGTAGTTGTGTGAAAGTTCTGTGTTGCTGTAGCAATTTCGTTTGAATTTAAAATGCAGATCAAAATGATGTTCCTGTTTGCATGGCTGATAAGATTATATTCAGTTTGTTTTGTTAAATGACTTTTTTTGATTTGAGGATCCTGAGCACAGTTTCTACTTCTAACCTTGCTTTCCTAAGACAGTACACTCTATTACTATTGTTAACTTGGAGTTTCCATGATAATTAAATAAATGTTTATTTTACTTCAATGTTGAATAAAAACACTATCCAGTTAACAAAAAAACTGATAGCTATTGACTCATAAGTCATTTTAGGGAAGCATTTTTAGTTAATTTTTAAATATGAGCCTTAATTTAAATTTTGATGAAGTATTAGTCCAGTTGGTTTTTAATGGGGTTGCAAAAAATATTTTTAATGTAAAAAAATGGCAGATCTATAGTAAGGGTAATTTTTTAATTAGATGTTTCAGATAGGTTAGTGCCAGCTTCATTGCATGTTGCATGGTAAGAGAGAGAGCTAATCTTTAGCATCTCTCTCTTTTCTTCCTTTTCCTCTTTCTGTCTTCTCATCTACACCAGTAATTACCGTGTTTGTGATGGCTACTATAATACGGACTTACCTGGGTAAGGTAGAACCCTACATTAACAAATTTGTGGCATGATTTATATTTTTTACAAATCTATCAGTATCATGAATTGCCCTTAATTTTTATAATTATTTTGGGATATCTAATTTGCTGTAGTATTTTAAAACTATAATATGCCTTTATTTTTTAATTGCTTGCCTCTGCATTTTGACTTTCTTAATTTTGAATAATTTATAAAATATATAAATGCTTTCTTATTACTTTCTATTTTAATTCTGTCTAATAATTTTGTTTCTCTTTTCTGCTTATAATGCTTTCTAGCTATGAAGATAATAAGCCATTTATCAAGTAAGATCATTAGTTAGACATGGAATGCACCGACTTTAAATCCTTCTCATTCCGTCCTATTTTCCGCAGTTCTTTTCTCCTTAAGCTATTCATGATGAAATCTCTCCAAAACTATTTATTTTGAAGTTGTTCTCATGTTTTTGTTCCATTTCAGCTAGGCTTCTTCATGCTTTAGTTACAAAACCTGAGGTTCACCTAAGATGAGTTTATCAGAATCTGAAGTTGAGGTGCTGATTATCTGCCATTTAACCTTTCTGTGTGTGTCACATTGTCCAGTCATGGGTCCACTGCAGGAATAGAAATATAGGAGTAAACTAATTGAGGACTCCTAATTTCTTAGACCAAAATGCACAAAAAAGATAATGAAGTCCTGGGGGATGTTGTACACCTTGTGTTTTAATATAGTTTTGATACCTCGTTTATTCTGGAGTAAAAAAAAGGCTATACCTGCTGTTGCTGTTTTCACTGGAGGCTGCAGTACTAAATGCTATTATTCCTTCTTTAATCAGTGAAAGGTTAAAGCCAAAATGCTGTTGAATTTGAATGTGAACATAGAGAAAGTCAACTGCTACTACTGATATGTTAATATTTAAGTGTGATATATATTGTTCTCTTACTGAACCTGTTAATAAAATTCACTCTGTTTTTTCAGGTCTTGGGTGCTTGGCGCTTTCGCTCTTCTGTGTCTTCTTGGCCTAACCTGGTCATTTGGGTTGCTTTTTATTAATGAGGAGACCATTGTGATGGCCTATCTCTTCACCATCTTTAATGCTTTCCAGGGAGTGTTCATTTTCATCTTTCACTGTGCTCTGCAAAAGAAAGTAAGTGAAAAGACCGTGAGATTCTGCTTGCATGTTCTTTTACTGGAAATGATAGATATAATAGAGAAGATTTTAAGTAATATTATTGGCATATTATTAAATAGTGTTATATTTTAATCAAATTAATCATAATACATATCTGGAATCATTTTTGGATCTCAATTTGAGAATGTTATAAACTAGATATTTTTGTTAATATTTCTTTTTCTCTAGTGGGGTCTATAAAAATGCTTTGTGCAAAGGGTATGCAAGGTAAAGGTTAAATAAAATTGAGTATAAGGATAAATGCCCTTAATTTAAAAGCGCCAGGCATACAAAAGATTAATATTAATGGTGCCTTTTGATTAATTTTATTAGATCCAAAATCCAATAACTTATTATTTCACATTTTATTATTTAGCCTCCATTTTATATTAAGTGGAGTCAGCAAAAATGATTCAAAACTTAATGTTTGTTTGAAGATAAAAATTTTCAATATGTTACAAGAAGACACAACCCTAAGAGGAGCTAAGTTTAGCACCATTTGAGTTTAAAATTTCTGAGCCTTTCACTAGAGATCACCCTTTTCCTGCCTACATAGCCAGTGTGGTTCTTTTATTCTGTTATTACTAGTTGGTCACTTAAATCAAACAGAAATCGAATTGTGAAAGTGAAAACTCTTGTGTCTTCAGTCCTGACAAGATGATAGTGTTGTTACTTCCATCCGTTTTGAATAAGCTGTCATTTGGAGATGATGACAGTGGGCTGTGTGGTACTGACAGGTGATGTACATTCACAGCAATACAGGCAGTAGGCAGACCCAACACCAGAGGGTATCATTTGTGTAAAATACTATTTTGATTACCATTGTCTTGGTTATATGGCATTTCAGAGCAGTTAATAGCCATTCAATGTGCAGAAATTTTTTAAGGTATTTAATAACACAGCATTTTAACTTTTTTAACATTATTCAGGTATAACCTTTGTAATTACTTCAGTTTTTATATATTCCTCACTTTATAAATGATCATTTTATAAACATGCATATGAGCACAATCATAATTCCTGCCAAATTACTTTGAGATGAAGCCTAAGCTTAGCCATTACTTCCTCACAGAGTTATGTGTATTAGTGGAACAGTCTTTGCTTTTCATTAGAGTTACCTTTAAAAGCATCATGTAGACCTTCTTTTGAACATGTTCTACTTAGTTCTAGAAACATCTTCCTCGGTGCTGCCAGGATGAATCATTAAGAATGTGGTCTAAAATGATTTAGTTAAAATCATGGTTTTTACCACTTCAGTGAGCGTATTTAGGCAAAGAAAGTGCTTTGAAAGTTTAATCCCATTGTTACTTGTTCTAATAGGTGTAATTAAATAAAGGAAGAGAAGGAAAATGCAAGTGCACTTAGATTTAAAAGGTCATCTAGAGATTTTAATTATCTAATTTTGCAAGGAATAAGTGTCAAAGTCATGGTCTCTGCAGGCACCGAGTGCAGAACTGAAAGGAGAGGAAAAGCCTGTGACTTTTTGTAACTGGCTCAAAATAATTTTTATGCAACATCTCCTTCTCCTCACCTGTCTTGTCATTGTGAAGTGTCTCTCTAAGCCACAACAGTACATATTTAAATGCCAATGTATATGCATAGAATCCAGCATTCTCCCCCATTCTTCCCAATTTTATACCAACTCTCCAGGTTCCCTATTATTTAGTGAGTATTTGGACTTTTTTACTTTTATAATAATCTTTTTATGTATAGATTTGGGAGGGTAGAGAAAAAGAGATAAAGGGACAGTGGGGGAAAAGAAAAACATTATTTATTGCTCCACCCATTCATGTGTTGCATGTGCCCTGAACCAGGATTGCGCCCGAAATCTTGGCACATCAGGACAGTGCTCTACCCAACTGAGCTACCCAGCCAGGGCTGGACTTCACTTCGGAAGTTTACTTTAAGCTTTCTTTTAGACCTAATGACTTTTCTATCTACTCACATATCCAAGACTCAGGGGGAAAGGGAAAGTACCTGAGTAACTCATTAATGAGAGTGGAAATTGTATAAATAGTTCCCTTGTGTGCTAATGAAGTGAATAGGCATCTGGTACTCTCTGCACTGAATGTTAAAGCTAGACATACCCGAAAATGAAGAAAACATTCCATCCTAAATAATGGAATATTATCAAAGTACTTTTTTTCTTCATTCTCGTACCAGAATAGTCTTGTCATTATAAAGAGGTTACCCACAAAACTACACAATCCAATAAAAGAAGTCCATGCATTGACCTACCTCAGAGGACATGAAGCGTATAAAACTTAAATGACTAAATACGAGTGGTAAAATGTAATTAAGTGAAAATAATTTGTCCTATTTTCTTAGCGTGAAATATAAAATTGGGCTTATTAAGTATATAGATAAAACAAGTCTATTAAAATGTTACTAATTCTATTAACACCATGTGCATAATAGGTATTATAAAGCATTACTATATAATATGTAACATTTTAAAGATTTTACTAGCCAGTCTCTACTGGACAGAGAATATTTTCCTGATTACAGCAGTTTCGATGGAACTTGATTTTGTAAGTGTAATTTATTTTCTCCATGGAAAAAGTATTTATGCAACTTCTTGGTTATCTCCACTGCTCATTTAATTCGAGAGAGAGCGAGAAGCACGTGTGTTTATACTCATCCCTCCGTCTCCCGGTTGCTCATCTCAGGTACGAAAAGAATATGGCAAGTGCTTCAGACATTCATATTGCTGCGGCGGCCTCCCAACCGAGAGCCCCCACAGTTCAGTGAAGCCATCAACCACCAGAACCAGCGCTCGGTATTCCTCTGGCACACAGGTAACAAAGAGTTTGACAGCATCTTTAATTAACCTTCTTTATAGAAAGCCTACTGAGACAGGTTCTGTTCAGATGCACTAATTGTCTCCTCATTATAATGATGTCTAGATAGCAAATGCTTGCTTTTTTAGTCTTTTGGTTTTTAATTTCTTCTTAAGTATTTCTTCAAGATGTTTCTTTCAGTGTGAACATCCTTTTTTGAGAGGTATACTTCTTTAAAAAGTGTATGATAATCATTTCATATCCTAAGATTATACAGTACAATGCTCATTGTGGGTACTCAGTAAATATTTGTTGAATAATAAATAACCTCCATGTTAAAAAAAAGGCAATAAAAACTTTTTTAAGAGTAGATTAAATACCCCTTAGTAGAAAGTAACAGAGCAGTATAGACTTCCTTAGTTTTAGACCAAAATCAACACACATTTTCTTTTTAAAAAAGCCCAACAGATAATCCTACCCAGATTGTTAGGGTAAGTCTTTGTGTGTCTTTAATAAGATAAGCTTGGGGAAACTAACATAATATGTGTCTTGCTATTTTATGTTAATAGAGTCGTATAAGAAGGATGTGGAATGACACTGTGAGAAAACAGTCTGAATCTTCTTTTATCTCAGGTGACATCAATAGCACTTCAACACTTAATCAAGGTCAGTTACTAGGAAAATTTGAGTTTACAATATAAATTTTGTACCTGCTGCCAGTTTACAACAATTCTAGAGAAAATGGGGGATTTTTTTCTCTCAAATGGGTTTCTATCACAAGCTCCTAAACTTGTTGGAGTCAACTTTTATCCTTTTATTAAAGTACATATAAAATAATTTATTTAATAATGTAATGCAAAAAGTATAATTTTAAACTCCACCTTAAGAGTAAGGCTAGAAGAAATAAATACTGAAAATATACTTTGACACTGATTAAAATGTTTACCTGGTGAGTGCAAATTTATCCTTCTAACCGAGACATTGATGAGAGTTTTCATCTTAAAACATTAACACAATTATAATAACTACTCTTCACTGTAAACAGTGCCAGTTTTGAAGTGAAAATTCTCATTTGCAAATATTTTAACATTTCTTTGGAAAAGTAAAAAACGTCAGAACCATTTAAAGTAAATCTTCATCAACAAAAAATTAAAATACATGAAAATTTATGAAGTAATTTTTGTCTGAATTACTATTTTTGTGTGTCTACAATTACAACTATATAAATGTATCTTATCAATATAATTGTTACTTACAATAAGTTGGCAAATAAAATGTCATAGTAAGATAAGGAGACAAGTGAATGTACACACAGACTTCTGAATGCATGGCTAGGAAATTTCAATTTGGTATGAAAAAAACATGTTATTGTGTATAATCCATGGAAAGTTAATTTATCCAGGTAATTTCAGTTTCGTTGTACTTATTGGTAATAGAACATGGTATATTTTTATCACAATGATATTTTTCATTGTTGACATTGTTGAGTTGGTTTAAGAGTTGGTTTAAAATAAGAAAAGGGGTATGTGTGATATCAAAATCAAGTTGCCTTTTAAAGTATGTTAGTCAGATTCTATTAGTATGCAAGACATGTTTGATGAGTTTTGAAAGGTTTGTAATTTCTCAGTTGCAATAAGTGAATGTGTGTTTATTTCATATTGCTGTTAAGATGACTATCAAAGAGGAAATGATCCAATGATTCATTTTTGAATCCTGGCAGATAAAATTCTCATTGTATAAAATTTGTGAGTGGTCTCATAATTCATTGTACCCAGCCTTTTTCTTCCCTAGCATGTGTGCTCTCGCATTTACTAAGCGAAGCTTTGTGCAGTGTGTCATACTGTTTACCTGTTCGAAGTTGTTTTCCTCCTGCTTGTATCTGAGTTGGTGTTAACACAGATGTTTTCATGAGGGATAATCCTACACCTGTAAATGCTGAAAGTTTGAGATTCCCTCTTCTGGGCCTCAGTGGTTAGGTTTTTAATATTAAGCAGTAACATCTTGAAACATAATGTTGATCTCTGTGCATTTCATTGCCATTTTTGTTTAACAGTGATTTTGTATAAATTAGTAAATGTCATCCTCAGCAGGTGTTTACTTGGGGGACATAGAAAGCACCTGTGAATTACTGAAATTTAACTTCCCTCTACCCTTTCTCCTTCAAATTAGTAGTACAAATACAGTCAGAAAATTTCAGCAGGTTTTCCATTGCCAACTTGTCCATTACCCTTGATGAATGCAAAAAGTACTGTACTGCAACTGTAACACTAAAATAAGAGAACTGATGTGTTCTTCTTTCTTTTCTGTTTTTTTTCTTGTTCTTTTTTTTCTTTTTTTGCTTTAGGAATGACTGGCAATTACCTACTAACAAACCCTCTTCTTCGACCCCACGGCACTAACAACCCCTATAACACATTGCTCGCTGAAACAGTTGTATGTAATGCCCCTTCAGCTCCTGTATTTAACTCACCAGGTGTGCTTATACTTACAAATAAAACTACCTTTTCTTTGCTACTAAACAGAGCTCTGATCTTTGCCCTTTTTCTAGAATACTGAAGTGCCATGTACTTATTATTATATCCTTAATTTCGCAATTAAAAAAGAAATGGTGTTGACCATGCCAGGCTTCTAAAACTGCACTATATTATAGTAAAAATTTAGTCATGATAGTATTGACCAGTAATTATCCATGTTTTTGACACAGGTGGCATAAATCTTAATATATTATTACAGGACTGACATCACGTGGTCCGAGAGCCCATCTTCAAGATTTATACCACTTAGAGGTATCCTGTCTATGTAAATATACTGTTCAGTTGACTCTAAAGTTTGCCGACAGAATTTGCTTTTGGAGTGAATTAGCTAATAGAGATCATTTGGATGCTAGGTATAGAAAAACTACACCCAGCATTATCAGTGTAACCAAACTATAGTATAGTGCAGCTTTATGGTAGTTTTTCTTTATTCTTAAAATAACTTCAGAAATAATGTTAATATTAGTCAGTTTATGCCTATAGTTTTTTTTTTTAATGGGGGAGGGGGAGAGATTGTCACTAACCCATCCTGTGTTACTGTTTTCTAATAGCTTATTTTATAAAAAAGCATTTATATACATATATATTTAGCAGAATTTTCAAGATTTTGATAAAAGTTATTGCATAATTACCGCTAGTATATAATATTTCATTTGTTATTGATATTTGCCACTAAATTTAACGCAGAACTTTGTTTCTGGTTTTTTTCCTTAAAATTCCTTTTTAACGTAACTGTAGCTTTTCTTTTCATTCTCTTGTTTTTCTTACTTTCCTTATGCTTCCCTCTAGCAACCTACAGAGAGACAAGTATGGGAGTAAAACTTAACTTTGCCTATCAAATGTAAATTTTTTCAGCATGATTTTTAACCAGCACAATTAAAACATAACTAGCAGTCATGAAGTAGACTCAGCGGGCAAGTGGTTCACAATTTGCAACTAAAATGTTACCAAATTGGAACAGCACATCAATGTGTACTGCCTCTTGTCAGTAGTAGAGGTCTGTAGCAAATGCTGTCCATACTTAAGTAAATGCAATGCTGAAATAATTTGCTCTTTAAAGCCTGAGGTACTGTCAACAAGAATGCTTAATAATTGACTTATCATTTCTGCATTCCCACAGTAATCTTGCTACAGGCTGTGGAAAGTCTTCAAGTGAATTACCTGAACTTGGCAGAAAAAGTTACCTCTTCAAAACCAGTCAAAGATGTGCTTAAATCTGCAGTATATCATAGAAAACACCTTCTGGATTATCCAGTACATATTTTTATATTTATTAAGCAAGAATAAAAAAAGACAAGATTAAACCTCTGTAGAAGAAACCAATGCAAGTGATTTCATGTGTCACCTTAAAACACCAAGTGTTTTCTCTTGGTGGATCTTATAAACATAAGGTGTGGTGCATTGTGAATGTAGAGAGCTAGCGAACTATGTCACCCAAGCTAAAGGAAGCCTTACAAATAACTATCCGAACTTGGCTTTGTTATACATGGAGCACGGTATCAATTGAATTGTCAGTGTTTCAAATGTAGAAGTTGGATCAGAGTTTTTAAAACAACATGAGTGACCAACAAATATAATCCCCCCATTTTCTCATTTTCTACTAATGATAATTTGTCAAACAATTATCATATATTTATTGGTCATGAAATTGTGTTTTCTAGGATAATCTGCAGCTTTAAGAGTGGAGTGAGGACTAAAAAGGGAAATTTTCTATTTTTTTCAAGAATTAAATTTTTTTTCCTAAACTCCTCCAAGCCTTGCATACAATGCAGCAGCCTCACAGTGGTCAGTTTCATTTCAATTTCAATAACATCATTTCATTCTTTTTTTTTTCAGACCTATCTGTAGACAAGTGATTTGTTTTTCTCTAGGATTATAAGAATGAATAATCTAACTTTCCATGGTGCAGACCATTTAATTTTCTCTTAATTTTTTCCTTTCATTTGCCTGAAAAGCACTGTGATGTCTTAGTTTACATGTTTATGTGTCTGTAGGAAATACAACTCTGATTCAAAGACAGCATGTTACCATATTTTTTTCTTCCTAAATCTCTTTTCATATCTTCAGCAGACTTACCCAATCTTTCATTCCTTTAGAGATAAAAATATATTAGCCAAGGCTGACACCCTTTTCCCATTCCATAGTTAATATTTATTCTTGGTTTAATTTCTGTGACCCATACTTAAGAACCTCGAACATTTCTGCGTTTAACCTCCATGCCCATGGTGTCTGTGGGCCAGTCTCGTGCAGTAGACTGCTGGTCCACTTGGCGCTGTCACTGTGACTGATGCAGACTGCAGGGCTGCAGGCACACACTTTGACCCTAAGGAGCCTGGGGCCATTGCTATTCGAGTCTTAGTACCGAAAAAAATCAAAATAATAAATACCAAATGAAAATATAAAAGGCTGCTATTGCTGGTAATCTAATTTGTTGAACCCTTGCTCTGACTAAGTTGCTGAGAAGCTTAGAAATTCTTCATCGTGTTACAATAAATCATTTTACTTTCTTTTATATATCAGCTACTCTTAGGCCAGATAGCCTGAGCAGACAGACATGATGTGAGTTGTCCAAAGTGAGTCATTCCACCTGCTGTCTACCGTGTTGTTGGCTGGTGCTTGTGGGCCCCTGGGCCAGTCGGTGTGAGAGGCGGCTGTCTTTGTTTGATGTGGATTCTTTGTATCTGTCCATTTTTTCATTCTTTTGTTTATTTCATCTCCAGAAAAAAAGGAAATGTTAGATGTTGTTTAAAAAGTTGCTTGCCACTTATGTGGGTTTATGTTGTACATTTGCCTTTGTTTTTTGTATGTGACTTATCCCTTTTTAATTTAGTGTTGTTTAGGACAAATTCTGTTAATTTTATTTTTATGAATCATAGTCTCGTACTTTAAAATGTAATTGTCAGTATTGAATTGCTTTGCATTAACTATGCAAGGGCATGGAGTGAAGTCTTTTTTTGTGTCAGAGATTTGACCCGAAATCAATGAACTACTGTTTCCCCGAAATTGATCAAGTAATATTCCGTATGCCATCTTCCTTGCCTTGGAAAACAGTATTATTCTTTCTCACTTTTTCGCATTATCTAAGGGGTTGCAACTGTTTACAGTTGGGAATGCGGGAAGGCCTGGCACTTTGCAAGTGTTAGCTTTCAAATACAACTTTGTCCTGAACGACATTAAAAAGTTTTGTGCAAAACAATGAATGGTTCTTTAGGAAGTAACAGAGGTAGTAATGGACACCCCGCTTTCTGTTTCAGGACATTCACTGAACAATGCCAGGGACACAAGTGCCATGGATACTCTACCGCTAAATGGTAACTTTAACAACAGCTACTCTCTGCGCAAAGGGGACTATAATGACAGCGTGCAAGTCGTGGACTGTGGACTAAGTCTGAATGACACTGCTTTTGAGAAAATGATCATTTCAGAATTAGTGCACAACAACCTGCGGGGCAGCAGCAAGGCACACAACCTGGAGCTCACACTACCAGTCAAGCCTATGATCGGAGGCAGCAGCAGCGAAGATGATGCCATCGTGGCCGACGCGTCATCTTTGATGCACAGTGACAACCCAGGGCTGGAGCTCCACCACAAGGAGCTCGAGGCCCCGCTGATCCCTCAGCGGACTCACTCCCTTCTGTACCAACCCCAGAAGAAAGTGAAGTCCGAGGGGACCGGCAGCTATGTGTCCCAGCTGACGGCCGAGGCCGAGGACCAGCTGCAGTCCCCCAACAGGGACTCTCTCTACACAAGCATGCCCAACCTCAGAGACTCCCCCTCCCAGGACAGCAGCCCGGACACGGAGGAAGACCTGTCCCCCTCCAGGAGGAGTGAGAACGAGGACATTTACTACAAGAGCATGCCGAATCTCGGGGCTGGCCACCAGCTCCAGACGTGCTACCAGATCAGCAGGGGGAACAGCGACGGGTACATCATCCCCATTAACAAAGAAGGGTGTATTCCGGAAGGGGACGTTCGAGAAGGACAGATGCAGCTGGTGACAAGTCTTTAATAGTGCAGCTAAGGAATTCCAAGGGCCACATGCAAGTATTAACAAAGAAGGAGTCCATCGGTCCAGTGCAGCTCCCACAGACCCGGCTCCAGGCAACAGCTCTGAGGACCTGTGCTTCCGCCAGTGTAAAAAAAGGTGACTGAACCTTGCAGTTCTGTGAATTTTTATAAAACATACAAAAAACTTTGTATATACACAGAGTATACTAAAATGAATTATTTGTTACAAAGAAAAGAGATGCCAACCAGGTATTTTAAGATTCTGCTGCTGTTTAGAGAAATTGTGAAACGAGAAAACAAAACTTTCCAGCCATTTTACTGCAGCAGTTTGCGAACTAAATTTGTAAATAATGGCTGCACCATTTTTGTAGGCCTGCATTGTATTATATACAAGACGTAGGCTTTAAAATCCTGTGGGACAAATTTACTGTACCTTACTGTTCCTGACAAGACTTGGAAAAGCAGGAGAGAGATTCTGCATCAGTTTGCAGTTCACTGCAAATCTTTTACATTAAGGCAAAGATTGAAAACATGTTTAACCACTAGCAATCAAGCCACAGGCCTTATTTCGTATGTTTCCTCAACTGTACAATGAACTATTCTCATGAAAAATGGCTAAAGAAATTATATTTTGTTCTATTGCTAGGGTAAAATAAATACATTTGTGTCCAACTGAAATAGAATTGTCATTAAAATAATTTTAACGAGTTTGAAGGAACTGTTGTGAAAAGCTCTTGGTTGCACACGTTATGACATGTTTTTTCTTACACTTTGTCATGGTAAGTTCTACCCACTTTTACTTATGTTCCACTGTATACAGTGTTCTGCTTCGACAAGTTAGTTTTATTCTTACATTTAAATTTCTTATTGCCAAAAGAACGTGTTTTATGGGGAGAAGACTCTTTGAAGCCAGTTATGCCATGCATTGCACAAATGTGGTGAAATCGAGAAAAGACGGCTTGCCTCCGCCCCACCCCCCACCCCCGTTTATTCTTGAACAGTGGGCGGAGAGGGCACCGGGCACTTCTCACTAACTTTCTAGTGAACAAAAGGTGCCTATTCTTTTTTAAAGTAAAATAAAACATAAATATTACTCTTCCATATTCTTTCTGCCTATATTTAGTAATTAATTTATTTTATGATAAAGTTCTAATGAAATGTAAATTGTTTCAGCAAAATTCTGCTTTTCTTTTCATCCCTTTGTGTAAACCTGTTAATAATGAGCCCACCACTAATATCCAGTGTAAAGTTGAACACGGTTTGACAGTAAATAAATGTGAATTTTTTCAAGTAGCTAACATGTGCACTTTCATGTATGATCCATAATTGGCTTTAACGCACTGCTCTTCCCACTCCTCCCCCTTGGGTGTGTTCAGGCCCCCTTCATAGTACAACCCGTGGACAGGGGAAGGAATGCGGTTGAGTCGCTTGATGGTTTTATAGGCCATAAAGAATGCATTTGTATTTTGATTATCCTTTATCCGTGCTCAAAATTTGGCAGATAGGTTTCAACATGGAAATATACTGAAAGTTTTTTGTTTGTTGGGTTGCACCAGAACTTAAAAAATAACAATGCAAAAAGAAATGTTGGAAATTGTATAATCAAATTGAGCTTCATTAAAAAAAAAGGTTTTCAGCAGTATGGAGAAGAAATTCCTCAAACATACTTTTACAGTTTAGGATTATAAGTAACCCTATAGGCAGCTGTGACTGACAATATCTGTTAGCGTGCAAAGGCTCAAAAATCATAAGACTGAATCTCAACAAATGGATTTTCCCTGTCCACATAATAAACATTTATACCAAATTCTTCTGCAGCTTAGGTTTTCTCTAGTGACTACCAAGTTATTTTATGTGGACACACTTAGTCATGCCTGTTGAGTTTTAAAAGAGTAATGAGAAAAAAATTTCAAGTATATATTTATATATCTAAATGTGTGTATAGTAAGGTAGACACTATATAATAAAGTATCAATATTTAATAGTAGGGTAACAATGGAGGAGTATATTCACATGTAGTTAATACCTAATAAGTTGGAGATTGTAAGAAATTATATTCAGATTCAAACAGATGTAATTCTCTTGAGAAGGGTAGTCGTATTTCTTTGGCTAAAATTTTTCAGCCATTTACAAAATTTTATGTGCTACAAGGGTGTATTATATAATTAAACATTTTCATTTTCTCCTTTTTTCCTTTCAAAGTCTGAAACTACAGTGTGGTGTGATGTGTACTTCCCAGTATACAAACTAAGTAGGGTCAGGTTGGTTCAGTAATAATGGATTAGCCAAAAAATATATATTATTCAGTCAGAGCTATTTCTCTTGAAGCAGTTCTTAAAACTGGTATAATGTGAACAAGTGCATAGTACCTAAATGGTTAATGTTCTCTCCAGAAAAAAGTCATTTATTATGAGTCTTTATAATAGAGAATACAATTTGGAAGCTATTACTCATCTTTGCCACCAAAAGAAAAATTGTTTTTACAATGGATTTCTTTTTTAAAATGTGTAAATGTTGCCTTAAATTCTGTCTAGGCTTCCTCCTAGTCCAAGTTAATTTCTTAAGTTTAACATTATTAATCTACTGACTGATGCATTACTCTCCTTATTAGTTCAGTAGGTTCCTGTGGTCCACGCAGACTTCACATGGATACACAGTTTTTACATCCTTGATTGTTTCTCTTTGTGATAGTCATGACTGTGAACTTTTATAAAGTCACATTACCGTACCTCTGTCCCGGGTCAGTTGGTCCACTGCTCTGTTAATAATGAGGAATGCTTGTCCCCATTTGTTTCACATGTAAGCTTGATACAGCTTAGTCTAGATTGACTTAGTTTAAAATAGAGGCTTGTTTGTTCTATTTACAAAAGAAGAGTACAGCTTTTCTGTATATAATTCATCTTACAGGCTTTTAAAGTCCTTTACGTGGAAGAGAATCTATACAGGTCTATAAGTTTCTTGAATGTGTTGTCAATTCCACCTCATCCACATTGATTTGAGGTAGTTACGTACAATATTTTAACCAGTGTAACAACTAGTTTTAAAGTTAAGGGGGCAATTATTTGACAGAACATCACCATCACTGTTCTCTCCCCTAAGAGAAAAGCATCATGCACAGATTCATTGCCAAATTTCAAAAGAATATTCATGCGCACTTGTTAATGGTGTTTTCCGGATGCCTGTTTTATGTGTTTATTTAAATGAAAAAGGAGAAAATGTACTTTTCCATCAATTCAACTTTGAACCTCAGGCTTCAAACTGACCTTTATGATGCTCTCATGGGATAGAGGGTTTTTGTAAAAAAAACTTTAACTCACTAAAAATTTTATGGTGGTTATAACCTAAGTAGAAAACTTGAAAAAATGCATACGAGTTGAATTTTTGTAATAAAAATAGCTCTTCGTATTTTATTGATACTGAAATTTTCTTTAAAGACAGTTATTCGTGCAGTGTTTTACAAATAAAACTACCTGTGTTTCAGATATTTTTTCTCTCTCCATGAAATTGTTGCATTAAATCTCAAAACATCAGTGTGAAAAGGTACTGACATGTTGAATACAGATGAGGATTGCTGCACAGGGTAATAAAGTTAGGGTGCTTTTTGGTGAAAATGCTGTATCACGTGCTTCCTTCTAGGAAGCATCAAATTGACCTTGAGCATCCTTAAGTAGCAGACTGGACAGAAGCAGAGCTGGAGGATGAGTGAATGGTACCGGGTTTGGAGATGAATCCCTGACTACCTTAATTATCATGTGAATGGTATGGGCTGGGAGTTTTCTGTTACGTCACTTTGAGTCTCCACCTGACCATAGAAACCCATTATGTCAGCTAAATGCACCAAGCAAAAAAACTTCAGTGCTTAAAGATATCGCATGTTTAATTGATGTGCACTTTGTCCACATTACTGATGCCTTGTTTCAAAATGTGTGGGACTGATGGGAACTCCATTTCAAGGCACTATGGTCACCACACTTTCAAGGCCAAGGTGACATGTCCCTGTCAGAGGGCATTAATAATAAGTTGTAAATGCACCATGTAATCAGGCTAATTAAGTGTACTTTTCAAATATTGGCAACAGACCACCCCTCATCTCTTCAGGCTTCTGTGGAGTCTTCATCATTTCCCCGATGGTATTACTGTTTACTGAGTGTGCAGTTTTCTCACAAGTCTTTAGAAGTCAGTTCGATATGTACATCCAGTTTTAACTGGTAAAACTTTTCTGAATTAGTGCATTGTGAAATGCTGTCAGGTATACTACCTTTTAACGTTATAGATCATTGTTTGAAATAAGAAATAGGTAACCCAATACAATTGAGCTCACCAAAACCTTTTCCTGCCTTGGGAAAAACAATATTGACCCATGAGTCTCTCACACATTTTTCTATTATGTGCTTATGACACTGTCATACCAAAATCTTAGAAATGTATAGAAGGCATAGTTAACTCAAACAATGGTGTGTGAGAATAAGAAATGAGTGATTATCAATTTTCAAATAGTTCATTGAATCTTTCTCCATAAATATTGTTCAGTCATATATCAGAACTGAGCTTCTTACAAAGCATCTTGGCACTCAAGCAACATGGCTTTCTTATTTGATTTTATTAGCAAAAAATCACTGATCAGCCCAGGCTGGTGTAGTTCAGTGGACTGAGCGCGGGCCTGCGAACCACACAATCGCGGTTTGATTCCCAGTCAGGGCACATGCTTAGGTTGCAGGCCAGTTCCCAGCAGGGGACTCATGAGAGGCAACCATATATTGATATTTCTCTATTTCTCTCCTTGCCTTCCTCTCTAAAGATAAATAAAATATTTTTTTTAAAAATCACTGATCATTTGATACTGTCTTAGAAAGGCTGGCAGCTATTCTATAGAACGCTCAGGGACAATAATGATAGGTATCAGATATTGATTAGAGGAAAGATCCATTCATTAAAAGTTTTTTCTGCTGAAATATCAATTTATTTCAGAATAAATAGATGGCTTTTAAACCAAAACATAGCAATAGCACACAGAAAATTCTTTTTAACACTATAAAAGAGCTACAAAACCAGATGTCGAATTTTTTAAGATATTACAGACCAAATGATTTTGCCCCACTTACTAATTTTACATATTGCAGCAAATATGAAAGTGCTACCTTCTCTCATGTAATAGATGCTTCATATATGCCTGGCTCGGTACCTAATGGGATGGTCTTTGTTACACAACGGGGTCCTCATCATGTACTTCTGCCAAAGTAAAACAGTTTGCTCAAGGTCTCACCTGATGTGTGACCCAGCCTAGACGAGCCTGACATTTGTTTGACCCCAGAGTTTGAGCATTTGTCATGTGTCACCTTTGGCTTTACTTTGAGTTCCAAGAATATTCCTTACAGTTCATGAATCCGTTGCTGGTGGGGAGAGTTGGTTGGTTCATCTTGAGTCTGTAGAGCTATACAGTAAAATGAAGTGAAGAAGTCAGTTATCATAGAAGTTGGCGTGTTTCAGAAGAGGATACCGCTGGTAAAAGACCACCTGTTTACCTCAGATCTTAGCAGAAGCGAGTCCATCAGCTGGGTGGTAGGGGAACGTAAAGTCTTGGTGACTGATTTGCCCCCTTTGGAAAGGACAAGCAAGGTCAGCAGGAGGGAGTTGTAGCAGGGAGAACAAAACCAAGGATTCTGATTCAGGACGTCAAGTTCCTGGTCCTCGTCGGATCAATAAAATAGTATTCATCGCCTTACCCAGTTAGCAATGTGATCAACAAAAACTGAAAAACTATTTATCCCAGGGTGCACTTTTTATTTTCTTTCATAACCCTGCCGTAGCAACAGTGAAAAAGTCATGTGAAATGTCAAAAACATTTGAGTTCCTTAAATTATTTTAAAAGTTAATACTGTTTTAAATTTAAATGATGGAGTCTGTGTGTGTATTTCAGTATTTAGTGATTTTGAAGTTCATAATCTAGTTTTTAATATTTGCCTAGAGAGCTCTTCCTCTGAAAAAATTAAGAGTTTGAACTAAAACAGTATCGTACTCTATTTTCCCCAAAATTTGCCCCACAGTGTCCTGGAATTGCAAGGGGCACTCAGAAAGGCAGGTGGTCAAGGGTTTTCCCTGTGAGTTTAGTTGTAAATGCACTCTACTGAAACAGACGTTTTGCTGAGCTGTGTGATATATTCCGTTCATTCTCCGAATGGTAAGGAACCTGGACCAAAGTACTTCAACTCAGCCAGCTCTAAAGCACTGGCTGGGAATTGCCACTTAGCCTCAGGCCTGAGCCCAAGCCCTTGAGCACTGTTTAATTCTGTCTCTGGGGACAGTCTGGCCACCTAGAGTCTCCCAGAATCCTCTAGAAGCTCCACAGCAGTTAGCTAGCACCAGAACTGTTTTTCTAGGGAAGCGATCATTATGTAGCTGGCCCCGAGGTCACAGAGGAAAGGAAGATTTGCAGGTGAGGAATATGAGTGTGTGTCTGGTGGCTGCTGCCCGGATGGACAGACTCTTCTGGCCACTGCACCCGAGGGCCGTCTGAGCCTGAAGGGCCTTTGCTGCTGCTGCTCTCTGCTGTGGTGGCTCCTGCCTCCCCTGACCCCACGTGACCTGTTTCTTTCCTCTTCAAGCTTCATGTTTCTCAATTTTCTCCTTTCAAAAAATTATTTGATTTTAAAAACCAATTTAGGTCTTAATCGTATGTATTTTTATGTGTCTTTTTTTTCATTTCATGGATTTTAGTCTTTTTTTCTTCCTAGAATATATACAGGGTGGGGCAAAAGTAGTTTTTTTTGTTTGTATGGAAAATAATACAATAATTAATACAATAATAAACTTTCATGTACTCATGACTATAAACCTACTTTTTGCCCCACCCTGTATTTTAGTCTGTGGATTTCCTCTTTCATCTCATTGTCTTCTGGTTTCATATGCTTTTTTAGAAAATCTCTTCTAATTTGTATGTTTTATTAGCCCTAGCCTTCCATCTTTATTGGAATATAAGCTTGTTATATTTCAATTTCTCCTAATTCCACTTTTTAATTTTTCTTTGCCCTTCACATTCTTTAAAAAACAAACAAATTCTCTCTGTGCTTTTTAAATTTTTTTTCCCTCAACTTACTTTTCAACAGTCAATAAGAGTTACGGCTACAAAGATGGTGATGGTGTTGGAAAAGATTCTGCACTATTTCAGTCCTACTTGTAATCCAATTTTAGTGTTCATTTGATAGAAGATATTCATATAAATAATTTAATGAAGTGGAGGCATTATGGTTGTGGAAACTTTAGAGTCACGTAGACGTAGAATTAAGCCTTTGCTCTCTTGCAGGCAAGTTACCTAACCTCTCAAATTGTTTTCTTCTCTGTAAAATTGGAATCAGTCTGCCTTGCCAAGGGTTGCCGTGCGGACTAGAAGTGATGTATGCAAAGTGCCTTAGTGCAGCGTTGCACCTGATAGGCGCGCAATGGATAGTAGCTTTTTTTTCTTTAGGAAGATATTTTAGTAGCATAAACATCTCGTGACTTTAACTTGCAGAAAAATAACCAGGACATCAGGACTTGATAATGGGTTGTCATTATCTGCCTCAAGCCCAGTGGCCGGGGTATGTTTGTAACACCTCCTAACACCTCCGTGAGCAGCGCACCTGTGGCCACCAAGCTCCAGCCTGCAAGGGTTGGGGCCTCGAGGGGAGGCCTGGCTTCCTGCAGCAACCTAAGTTCATGAGCGCAAAGGGTAGGCAGGCCTCTGAGTCTCCTTCTGGAATATTAATGTAGCTAATTTAAAACATCTTATGTAGAGCAGTGTGTCACTTAATTTTTCCATTTCTTTACTTCTCTTTTCCTTCTTTTTGCCTTCTTGTTTGTTCTTTCCTAGGCAGCAATAGACAAGTCTCTTGCTGTTGAACTTTCTTTAACAAACACTGGTTGAATATCTACTATGTGTTTTGTGGGTAAAAGTAGGTGGTAGAACACAGAAATTGTTGTCCTTAATAGTGACAAGGACTAACATATTGATTAACTACTTGTTGCTACATTCTGTATTTAAACCCTTCATGAATGTAATTTCATTAAAAATTCTAATTCTTGAACAATTCTACAACATTCAAACTGTTATTGCCTGCCTGGTATAGTGGAGAAAACAGGCTTAGCAAGGTGAAGCAACATGCACGAGGTCAAAAAATCAAGTGAATGGGGGACCCGAGACCTAAGTTCCTAAGGACCTTGCTGTATACAACTGACATGGCTTGAAAACAACACGTATTTCAAAGGATAGTCTACAACACAGTGAGATAAAGGCTTACCATCGCGAGATCACAAAGGAGCGAATGATTGACCAAAAGGAACACGGAGAAAAGCTTTATTGCAGAGATAGTGCTGGCCCTGGGTTTTAAAGGATAAGTAGAAGTTTGCTGGAAGAACGAAGTGTACAGAAGGAGCATCTAGGTGGTTAGAAAATAATAACGTGAAAAGCAAACAGGTGTGAAAAGACGTGAGCTGG